GGTAAGACATGTCGAGGCTATGTATGTTACACCAGTTTCGACCAGTTCGTCATGCGAACGAGCAATCAAACGGAATTGAAACTGAAATTAAAAAGTGAATCAACACACGCTATGGCCTCTATTCATCGACTGAAAGCACGTTTACAAGTATACTGAAAAAATTTTATCTTTCATTTGTCCCATTTCAAATCACAGCATTTTCGTTCAGTGGGTCCATGATTCATGTATGTTTTTGTATACATTTAATTATGAATAGAAATGTTCCAGAAATGCTCCAGTAATACCAAAATGGCTGACATACAATTAATTTACCAGCTACATCGTACCAATATCTAATTTAAGCCTGTATATCGGTTTATAAGCAGGTTTATGAGGTCGTCGACAGTTTAATACGTCCGGGATCATGAAAATCACGTTATCTACTGCTAAGCCACCTTTTTCTTTAGACTTAAGGAATATTCTAGTAAAGCTTTCTTGTAATTCCTATAGCAAGTTATACAGAAACATCGTAACATGTGATTTCGTTTAGGGCGAAAAATCAAACGTGATATTTATGATACTTTCAAAAACCGGTAACCAAGTTTTTTAAATACAAAACAACGTTACCATGGCAACGATCACAGTATCTTTATAAGTTCGAATGTGACTAGTACACCTGTCGACATTCCACATTATTAATAATAATAACATATTGGGAGCCTCATAGCCTAGCGGTCTTATTAAGTGGCAGCTAGGTGAGGGGTACCGGGTTCGATTCCCGGTTCGAGGGCAAGTTTTAATTTAATTGAAATTTGTTCTCGGCCTTTGGGAGGGTTGTGCCGTGTGCGGTACCGGGCGAGTGCTTAAACCGTACATAGAGGACACTGTCGAATTTCTAAAAAAGACAAGCACGAATTATAAAAAATCCTATACTTGACGCTGGCTAATGCACAAATCGTGCCAGAGCCGTAAAAAAAAATTAATAATAATAATAACATAAATTAAAAAAAAACAAAGACTTGTCCTCTATCAGCAGGAGGCTTGGTGAAATAGGAGCACGCACTTACATCCTCGTATACCTCTATAACAATGAATATAACAAAAAGATATTCAAATAACAATAGCATCGCTTTAAAATAGCTCGTAACACGTGCGCTACACATCTGTGTCCATGGAATGTTTAACTTTATATAGTCATACTGATACATTCCTGAGATTGTAAGCTGGAGATTCCTAAATAGAATTGTATTACTTGCCTCGATTCTCGATTGTTTTATTCTTCTTACGTTTAGGTTCTCATTTCGAAGGACATTTCCGTATATAAATTTTATTTGCTTAGATGGTAAAAATGATTTTATTCGAATTAATGATTTATTAGGAATATTTCCTCGGAATTTGTAAGAACTTGTACGCCAAATATTAAAGCAACTCTACTAACGTATTAGATTAATTTTGTATCTACCCACTTACTAACGTTTCAACTACCCTCAAACATTTGGATTTTTTTAAACGAAAATAAACTTTCTATAACAAAGCTGGCCTGATTCTTGTGTTACTCGCGAACAATAATATGAAAAAAGATTTTTACAATTAAACGAACCCCATTAAAATTCAAATCAATCAAAGCAAATCACTTTAAAGGAAAATCTCTGAATATGTATTACGTGAATCCTTACTGCATTGCAGTACAAATGATGTGTAAATCATAATTGGACGGTAAGCAAAAAAGGGATTTCGAGAAAATTCGTGTAAATATCCAGCTTTTAAATTGTGGGTAATATTTTTTACTATAATCAATCAATTAATCAATCAAAAATCATTTATTTATATAGGTAACACAATGTACACTTATGAACGTCAAAAAAGAAATATACATTAAATGCTTCTAATTTTACATTTACTGCCAGTTCTCAAATCAAGGGCGTAGAACGGAAGAGAAGGACTGGCAATAAACTCTCCGACACTCTGTTTAATCGCCAAGTTTTTTGTTTTACACAACGTTTGTAAGGCGCTGCAACTATTACACCATGTTCCACATGACATCCTTAGTAATAAACAAGAATAAAATAAATTAAAAACAAAGACTTGTCCTCTATCAGAAGGAGGCATGGTGAAAAAGGAGCACGCACTTACATTCTCGTGGGAACAACACGCAAATACATAGTCGAAACAACTAACATCACCGCATACACGAATTCAAGTACGACCAGTCACCACAAGTAGCACCCGTTCACGAGTATGACGCATGGCCAGACATCGGCCCCGTTGCCATATTTTAGGAGAAAGTAGATCATAGTCGTCACTTCAGTGAAGAAAGGTTCAGGTGCAATACCAAACAATGCCAAAAACGCCAATATTTTAAAACTATAATCAAATAGAAGTAACAATGTACACAAACAGCTTGCCATTCAGGACACAATGTCTAAGTTTCCGGAACAAATTCAGGCTGTACTTGTCCATGTACTTATATTTTTAATTTATATTCTAGTTGATTTTAGTTTTTTTTAATACGCATTAAGAATGTTAAATTAATTTAAGAATGATATTTTAAGAACTTGCAAAGCTTCTATGAGCTCTCTTTCATTAAATACATAAGGAACACTAAGAAATGCATTTCCTACTAGAGATACTTCTCAGAAATAATATCATTTCCGTTCGTTATTATTTCAAATATGGTCTTCTTCGTATTACTTAAACAGTTATGGAATATGCTTTTTTCACACCGATAAGGACAAAAATCATTTATTAGGTGCCTATATGATATGACGAATAATTAATATTATAATGTTTCATCAGCGTTTTCCTAATATAAAGCCTGCTAAATATACGAATACGCCAGATCGATCATTTACACTAAGTTTAAAACTATGTCAGCGGGAAAATGTTACACTTAAATAGTTGATATTATCCTGTTTGACATCACGTTGATCCTTGAGAAGTATTATGAATACATTTGACGCATATTCACAACTACAGTAGAACTTCTATAAGTCGAACATCAAGGGAGACGCCAAAAAATTCGAGTTATAGAGTTTTCAACTTATGGAGGATTTCGACTTAGGCGGATTTTGATTCGACATAAAGAGTTTGAGGTTTATTCTTATAAATTGAACACCTGACACAAAGCAAGCAAACACGTGTTTCCATGAGTCATAAATTTATTATTGTATACTCCTAAAATGTTTTCTAAGAAACAATAGTGTACTCACATTGGCGGCAAGTTCTTAAAGTCGGTAACTTATTTTTGTTCGAACAATAGAGATAATAAATTCCAAATGATCAAGTTGTAAAGGTTGTAAAATAAAACGTTCCTATGTTCGAGATACAGAGGTCAAATTTAATTTTTCGAGTTATAGAGTGAAAATATGTACCAAAATGGTTTGGAGGGACTCGGTGATTATTTCGATTAACAGAGGGTCAAGATTTCAAGTAATGGAGGTTTTGGTGTTTTAAGGGAAGGGAACAAAACATTTTTTCGAGATTTGGAGGTTTATGACTTATCGAGGTTCGACTTAACGAGGTTCTACTGTAATACGCCAAAGGCATCGTTAATTTTAAATCGCATATTAAAAAGGTTACATTTGCTTTTTTTTTATAAAATCAAAAGAAAAAAGTTATTTTTTCACTTTTTTACTTTAACTTTTGAATTTTGGCTTAATAATAAAAAGTCACACAGACATAATTGTAGGCAAAGCGATTTGCTACAAAATATGTCTTCACAAATTTTTTGTTACCCTCAAATTGTAACATTTCAATGGACTAATTGCAATATTCGGCAAATTGACGTGATTATCATACCTCAATTTTAAATTCTATGTATCTTTGGAGTTGGGAGCTTTAAAATTTTTTATAAATTCACAAGCCCCTTTTGCGTTGCCTTTCAATGAATGTCAAGGATAAAAAACTAATCACATCCTCAACGAATTAAAACGTGAGTCATCATTGCATTTCAAATGTAATCGATACCCCGACTTAATTACTCGAAATGTCTCGAAAAGATCAATCTACAATTAAAAAGATTACAATACTAAAGTGCTTCGTAAATTTTAATTAATTTTTGAATATTTTTTACGCGTAGCAATGGATAAAACTGTTCATGTAAGGTAATCAGTGTAGAACCATAAATAATTCTGGATCATAAAGTATGTAGAGAGGTTTTCTATAGTTGCATATTAACACAATTAATACTTAATGATGCTTTTCGCCTGTATTTTCCCAATCAATTGGACATGAAACTTTTTTTATACAAATTTAATTGGATTAAAAGCTGCGATTGAAAGATTACCAAAAAGTCGAGTACAGCGTATGTTTAAATACGTCTTTTGGGCACATCTACGAAGCCGGTTGAGCTTTTAAATCAATACTAATTAAACAAGTTTGTGTTTAATGTATTAAATGTTAAATTATTAATTTGAGTTCCTCGTCAAATTGTACTAATTTATTTTAGTGTCCAATAAAAAATTTAGATTACCATTATTTTCTAGACAAAAGTAGACAGTTTTGTCTATTAATTCCCTTGGCATTAATATCTGTTAATTTACATCTGTAAATCCTTGTAAATCACTTCACTTCAACATCCAAGACTTTCTTTTTAGTTGAGATGTTTTCACTATCAACTCAAAATAACTGTAATACCAATACTTAAACTTAAGGAACAAAGTCGAATACCGGAGGGCCTCATAGCCTAGCGGTCTTATTAAGTGGCAGCCAGGTGAGGGGTACCGGGTTCGATTCCCGGTTCGAGGGCAAGTTTTAATTTAATTTAAATTTGTTCTCGGCCTTTGGGAGGGTTGTGCGTTACCCGGCGTGTCCTCCAGGACATGGTCGAATTTCTAAAAATCTTATACTTGACGCTGGCTAATGCACAAACCGTGCCAGAGCCATAAAAAAAAATCGAATACCAAAGGCAGAAGATTACTTATATAGTAAATAATACTATTGTTTCATGGATATGCGATAAAAGTCTCTATTTACAAAAGATTATCCCGTACAAGCTTGGATTTTGCCTCTAAAAAACTCACCTCGGTCTTTCTAACGTTTTGGCATTCATTTTATCCACCTTTCGTCTCTTACAGGTGTCGCATCTGAGAGTGGGGAGACCCCCCTCCCACAGCCCGCTCTTCCAGAATATTAATTTACCGTCCGCATCCATAGACTTGCATTCTCAACTTTATTTCTCCACTATTTAAATCGAAGACACACACATGCAAAACAAGATACGACGTAACACTATCTTCCTTATATTTACAAAGAAAAACCACTCATTGTATAAAAATCACGACACGAACGGCCCGCACTAACGTTTATTAATAACTGACTAAATATTCAAGGACTAAAGTTCGAGACCTTTTTTATAAAGAATCCATAGACTAAATTGAGACACGACCCAATATCAAACAATAATAATTAGATACATTCTCAAAAGATGCACCTTTTTTTTACTCGAACGCGCCTGGGGACCACTGCTCCCCTGCCAAGGCACTGTAGGTCTTATAATCACGACGTCTATGATCCAAAGTCCAATAAAAACGACTGTACTTGTTCTAATCCGGACTAGTTTATTTTTTTAGTTCTTGTTCTGGTAATACGCATTTTAGACTTTGTTAATTACATATTTATTATTGTAACATTTTATTATTTTAGGGATTTCAATAATTCGTCAATAGATTGATAATTAGGGGCGCGCTTAAACTATTTTTTTGTGTATTCCAACTAGATATTTTAAGTGAGAACATGCATAGTACCTGTGAACTGTATATTTCAATAATATTCTAAAACATTATTATTATTACAGAATTAAGGTCTAGTACCTAAAATAGCTTTTAAACAATTCTTCTTATCACAGACTCGGCAGAACAAATCAAAATTTATTCAATCACATTGATAACTTATGAAGGTCAAAATTAAAAAATATTTATTATTGGCCTTTCCCTCTGGGGTATTATTATGGGTATTGGCGTCAGACCGCAGACCGCATCCTTTTCTTTGACTTGTGTTTCACACAGTCTTGTACCACACGCGTTGTCATTATTGAGTCATATAGGTACGTACTCAAATTTCAATCAGCGTACGAGCAAGTGTTAATATAAAAATAATCAAACGGTACGGTATGGAATGTACGACCTGAGTTTGATACACCAATAGGTCAACACTTCCGATAATTTAAATTAAATATCTGTTGGCCAAGCAAAATATCTATTCGATACGAATTGTTTATCTTATACAGGAACAAAGACAAGTGCTAATAGAGCAATGTAAACTACAACATGAATGTTACAATGATTCAAAACATTAAGATGCAAGGCAAAGTCAAAAGGAATGCACGCCCCAACGGAGAAATATGAAACTAAAATTTCCTATGGTTTTTAAAGTATAAAATGAATTTTCTCTATAAATAATATATTAGAATTCATAATTATATTGTTTGGTTTAACCAATACTAATCTTAGATTCTGATTCAAATTAATTTTTCGTTTTAGTCCTTAAATCTTGGAAGGCTAAATATATTAATCAATCAATTATTATTTTTCAATCTTTATATATTGTATACCGAACATCGCAATTAACGTGGGTTTATTTTTATTATTACTTATAAATTATAAATAAACTAAGGGTACAAACACACCAAAACACCACTAAGGCTTGAACCTTGGTGCCTGAAAATGTAAAGTTAAAACTGTAAGGTAAAAATTATTTAAAAACTATATATAGTACAGATTAATAAACCAGAGCTACGTTTTCATAAAATCTACAATGACGTCTGAAGGAGCCAGCGGTAAATAGTATACAATTTAAAACATGCATAAACTATTTCAAAGAATTTCTAGTTAACAAAAATGTCTACCAATGCATAGATCTAATAATAAACGATCAACCGTGCTGACCTTTTTACTAGTGTAACGTAGGAAGACGTTTAGCTCCGGGATTAACCTACTTTACAAAAGGAATATATGACAATGGCTTCCAAAGGCTTCTAAAAGAAATTACTTGATAAAAACCTTTGCTATATTTCGAGGAAAATATAAAAATAAATATATGTTTATTAAGGAATATAAGATACAGGTATCACTTATTTCACGTCATTAAATTTGAATCGGTAGACATCCCTACTCATCGGAAAAGAAGGCCGAGAGAAAAAGCCAGCGTAAAAAACTCTCGGTACTCTTTTATAATATCAAATCATCACAAAATAAAAATCACAATCATATAACCAACAAAACACTAAAGGGAAGGACAACTATGGATATTAAATTCAATTATTAATGTTATTTTTGTATTGTCATAACACTCGCGAAAATATTTTTAAATAAAAGCAAAACTACACAATTTTAATATTTATTAGCGGTCGAATGTTTCATAGAAAAGCGATGTCGAGAAAATGCTCTAGAATTTGACGTATGTGTTTCCGCTCGCAGTATTTTGCAGTGAACCCGGTCAATGAACTTTAGCAAATGTACTCGAGCTTCGGTATAACCTTTTAAATATTAATTTCATACATCAAAATGCATCATAAGTTCATATAATTAGTCTCATTGATTTGAAGCCCTTACTGTCGAGACACAAGCTATTTTTATCAAAATAAACAACAATTCAACGCTTCCCGTGCTTAAATACTCTATATTCTATAAAGATACAAAATATGTAGATAGCTGCCTCCCACATAAAGTGTAAAGCGTTTATTTAAAGCTAAACGAAAGCTGGCTAAACAGACAAGTCGTCTTAGATCGACGACCTAGAATCCGCATAAATACTAGTTCGCTTTTCGATAGTTCCAAGCGGGTTGAATATTTCTTGAAGAAATCACTATAAAAGGCCAAAGAGATATATATATATACATCTTCATAAGTCGCGTAGATAAATGTTTAGATTTAGTTAATAAGCATGCTTAAATCTATATTATTATTATAAAGAGGAAAGATTTGGATGTTTGTAACGAAATGGTTCAAAAAGTACTGGACCGATTTTAAAAATTCTTTCACCATTTGAATGGTACATTATCACTGATTAATATATTATATTAGGCCTATATAAGGCTATTTTAATTGAAAAAAAAAATAAGGATCACTACTAAAACAACAATAATTTTACCCAAGGTGTAAAAAAAATGCCTATAAAATATCTTTCATCGCATGCGCTTCGAAAACTATTGATGATAGAAAAAAATTTAACACAATATTAAAGATCATAATATAATATCTACAAATTTAAATAAAATGTCAACACAAGTATGTTCTGACGTAGAACTGTATATCTCATCAAAAAACTTTTCACAGAACAATAACGACTATCAATCGCTCCTCGCCAGGTCAGTTGTATAACGAGTTGATTTAGAACAATAGGCGGCAAGTAGGCTGCGATCAGCGTCGTTGCCTCGCCATAGAAAATAAACAATAGCCCACCGTAAACAGTCCGTGTCTACAGGACACGTACCTTAACACCTTTTATTAGCCTATTTATTTAGTCAGTTCACATCGCTATATTATATTATAATAATAAAAAGCAGTTCTTATACATTTTAGAATCCACCACATCCTTCAGGGAGCGTTCAAGTATTACGACACGCAATTTTTGGAGATTATTGACCCCCCTCCCCCCGTGTAACGCGCCGTAACGTTTCTGTACCCAAGTACAGACATTTCGTGACCACCTAGTGACTCTTTATACCTAAAAATAACCATTATGTGGTGTAAAGTACTGGAAAGTCGAATAATAACAATAACGTGTAATTCAATCCCCGTCCCGCATCGTAACGTTTTACAAAAGGACCCCCCCCCCCATCCAAAATTCGTTACGTAATACTTGAACGCTCCCTAACAAGAATAGAATCAGAAAGCCAAGATTAGATAATTAAAAAAGGTTATACGTAAATATATACGTACTAGGGAAAACCCGCCGGAAATCGGGAAAACCCCACAATGAACCTAATTAAGCCTAACCCAAATGATTATTTATGAAAATACCACAGAGAAGCTTGAATCACGCGAGCACATAGCTTCATTAAACTATGGAAAGAGCAAAACAATGAAGATTTTATTTTATTAAAAAGAGAATATCTATCCATTGTAGCGGAACATGAATTTTCATAGGACGCAACAATTGTTCTGTGATTAAAGTGCCTGCAGCTTTGCTTTTGTTTTAGTCCTAGATCCTTTTTTATTTTGGTTAATTAATATCAAGAAGTAGCAGAAAGTAATTATTAGAAATACTCAACTATTTAAACATAAACAACAAAGTCATTTTATTAAAAATAATTAGATTTATATACCTACATACTTTTGAAATGACTCAACTCGTCTTTTTTTTACAGGCCTCTACTACAGTCAAGATTTTTTCTTAGTTGTTAAGATTTTAAGGGCAATAAGGTGGTATGTACATGAGTAATTAGGAAAGTCAAACAGATGTTTTAACATTAATAACTGATATAGATTACACAGTCAAATACAAAGGCTTTAAAAAGTTTATCAAACCTAATATATACATTAACACAACAATAAAAACTATGTTAAGATAGTTAAGAACTTTAATCAACAATAATGTTGTTTTGCTTTCATATTATATTGTCAGACTTGAATAATTATTTATTTATATATATGTTTGTATTATCTGCATATTAAACAAATTCAGAAAACTTTATAAGACTTAAAATGCTTAAGGTATTTTACAAACAATATTTCTTTTATTATTTTGTGTCTTTAGATAGATCAAAAACAAAAAGTAGGTAGGTACTTGGTTAGGACAGAACTAATAATGGTAGTTAATAAATTCAAAAACAATATTGTACGGATTTATGAATAAAAAAGAAAGACAAATACACATACAATTTTACATACTTATTTTTTATGCTTGAAATTTACTGTGGGTAGTTGTAACTTTTAACCTTTTGTCTTTAAATTTAATTAGCTTATCTTAGTTATATATCCCTAAATAATTTAAGTGCTTATTCTGTTGTCTAGAAATATTTATTATTGTGTGCTACCATAGGTTATATAATTTTTATAGCTTTATGACAATTGTGACAAATAATTACTGTCATTTTTTTACATATTTTTGTGTGTCCAATTTTATCTTATATTTTTTTAAGTTTTTGGAGGTATTGTTTTAGTAACATTTTTATACAAGGTTTTTTTACATTAAAAGTAATCTACCACATATATAAAAGATTAACAAAAAACGGTAAGCGTTAGCTTATGCTGCGAATGCTAATATTTGGAAAATCAGAGCGAGTAGTAAGTTACATTAATGGATCATACCAAACAAAATCCATATTACACTTACCTCTTCGATGATGAGTTTTCGGTCATCTTCAATGTATCACATTAAACAAAAAATAAAAAACAAAAGCACATTATACTGAATTTCACTAGAAAAAGTATTACTTCATGTTGTAGTATATATAAATTATAAATACGAAATATTTACACCAATAACTAAATAATTTTAATGAAACTCAATAAATTTTACTTTTCAGCAGTGTGCAACGCATCGTACGATTTTGGTTCCACTGTCAAAATTTTTGACATATATTTGTCATTGTCACTGTCTGATGCTGAATCATTAAATCTATTCTACTCTAGATAATGGACTTTTTTGGACAAAGACAAAGCTTATCTCCGTATTTTAGTAAAGAGTACGTCTAAGAAAATGATCATGGGTTGTAGTCAAATTCCTTATTTTCATAACGTGAATGATTTATTAAAATTATTAATTTGAACCAAAAAAGAGGTAAAATTAAGATATTGATGTCATAATAATTATTGCGTTACATGGAATAGTCTTTCTCGTTGCTATGGCAACTTCCAACAATACAAGCCGGCCAATGGCGGAGTTTCAAAATTTTCGTGTTTGTTGTCACATTGTCATTTTATTAGAGCCGCGAAAACTTGCAATTTATTGATTAAACAATAGTTCTTAGCAATTAAGAAATACATGGATAAGATATCGTGACCACGGTGCCTTCGCAATGTTCAAGAATACGTTTCAGTCTGGTTTCCTTTCAATTCTTTACAGTATAGGCAGTAAGCCTTTGCAAATTTGGGATAAAAAAGTTCGAAATGGGCACATAAAGAGGATTACTGACAATGATATACAAAGCTTAGTGTTGGAAATCGTTGGTACCAATGTGTCAACGACGTATATTACTTGCCCAGCTGATCCAAAGAAAACCCTTGGCATCAAGCTTCCCTTTTTGGTTATGATAATCAAAAATTTAAAGAAGTATTTCACCTTCGAAGTGCAGGTATACAAAATATGTAAATTTTTACGATAAAACACTAAACTCTTAATGATGGAATTTGAAGGCTTTGTTTCTTAAATTTAAAATAAAACTTATCAACAGGTACTTGATGACAAAAATGTAAGAAGGCGGTTCCGTGCTAGTAACTACCAGTCTACAACTCGGGTTAAGCCATTCATTTGTACAATGCCAATGAGGTTAGATGAAGGTTGGAATCAAATACAATTCAATTTAGCAGATTTCACCAGACGAGCATATGGAACAAATTATGTTGAAACCTTGAGGGTACAAATACATGCCAATTGTAGGATTAGAAGAGTGTACTTTTCTGATAGACTTTATTCTGAGGATGAACTTCCAGCAGAGTTTAAACTGTTTCTGCCGATTCAAAATAAAGCTAAAACAGCTGTTGCAAATTAAATTGTTAGTCACTGTTCATTTTAACAAATATATTATTAAGTCAATTTATTTTTATTTATGTTATATGTCTACACCTTTGATAATACATTTTAATATTAAATAAACACGCACATTGAATAAGAGTTTTTATCGTCCTCAGAGATGTATGTGCATACTATCTGATATACCAAGACAATCATCACCGAATCATAATCTGTTGACATACAATTAAGCAACTGCAATTATTGGCTGATATGTAAATTGTAAAGAAAAATTACAGCTTAACAATAGTTAACGTAAATAAAAATCTAACACAATAATAATAAAATACTAAAAACCTTTATTCATAGAAAATATTTTTTAAATAATGATTTAAAAACAGTACAAAAAATATATAGATACTTATAAAATAATAGCTTTGAACTTTATTTGTATCGAAAAATAAGCAACAAACAATTTTTTTCATAACAATTCGATTGATTTAGGAATGTTAGGTACTTCATGAAAGAATAATGATGGGAAACTATTTAAACCAAAGCTTAATTCACATAAAATTCAATTTTTAAAAATTAAATGTAAATGAATTACCTACATCTTTGTTAACAATATTTTTTTAAGAGATCAATCATGCATCCTATATAAAACACGGTTATTTATTTGTTTTAAATTTAAAAAACAAACAATAAATTTTTGTGTTAAATTATCAATTGTTCGGATAGTATAAATCTTTGCAGTAATATGATAATTTTGATAACCTTCGCAATGATTGGGAAAATTATCATTATCAAGTCAATCATAATACTTATACATAATTAAAAGCGATATAATTTAATTTCTTCGTAAATTTTGAGAAAAATATCACATTTATTCTAAAGATGCTTATTAGAAAATTAAATTTTACACATTCAGGCAAAATAATAGTAAGATAACAATTATTCTTATACTGCTGTTTTTATGGCTTAGTCTAATTATTTTACTATCTATAAGCGTTTAGGCGAAATCAACTCCTGTATCCAACAAATCTCGTATCATCATATTGGCCTTTCGAGGCAATACACGTAGAACATTGCCTAAAAATAACATGTGTTTGGGTACTGAAGCCTCGACATAGTTTCGACGAACACTGTCTAGTACAGCTGTAGCCGCGCGGTCTGGCGTTATAGTACCAAAGTAACTTGGAATTCTGAAAATAACATTTTTGTAATTCATTTCATGTTCTTCATTTTGTCCTACCTTAAAAGAAAATAGTATATGCGAAGAGCCAGCGTGGCGGTTAAGCGAACTAATATATTTCTTATTGCTATGTTATATTTACTTATATATTTTTTTATATTAATTTAGAACTGTTGCAACCTGAAATCCCACAACTGTTCTTTTTCCGCATAGATTACGTGTTTTCCCGACGAAATCAAGCTTAATTATTATAAAAATGATTTAAATAGATAATCTTAATACGAGTATATAAAATTCTCGATCCCATACTCCTCCGAAACGGCTCGACCGATTTTGTGAAATTTTGTGTGCATATCGGTTAGGTCTGCGAATCGGGTGCCCATCCGCCCGTAAATTTTATTTTTACATTTTTATGATACAGCATACAAAAATACATACAACCCTTAATTTTCACCGCTCTACGATCAACCCCATTTTTATTGAACTAAAAAAATGTTTCCAAGAAATACATGGCGAAACAACGTTTGCCGGGTCAGCTAGTAAACTATATAATATGTACTTTTTGTTAAAAAGCAATGGTGAGCAAGACTGAAGACTCAACCACAACCTGGCCTAGGTTTATGTATTAAACTGTCCTGATGCGTTCCGTGCTGCATGATCACGTGTTGCCGTTTAAATATGTTTATACTTACTATCTAATACTTTTTTAGGTTTTCTTTTTGCAAATACGGAAATCGTACCACCAATTTCCAGTTAATAATTAACAGAACAACAAAGTTATCTAGTGAAATCAGTGGATAATAATGTATTTTGCAGTGTTTGATATTTTTGTCTACTTTACAATGGATTCAACATAGGGCTGCCATCTGTAGAACTTGCTCCCCAGGACCGGAAGCGTTTCCCCTGATTTTGGAGCTTTCACCCCGGACATTTCAATACATTTTCATTCACTTACATCATGATTAAAATATATAAACTTTAATTTTATCCCTAGTAGCCAAGATCTGACGTCAGTCTTAAAATAGCGTCAGCAGCGCGTGCGGTGAAATACCTAACCCATAGCTTTTATTCACATCAATTATGACAACGGGATCGGATCGAAACCCCGGACTACAATTTAAACCCCGCTTGGACGCTCCCCGGACTTCTTCCAAACTAGGACAAATCCGGGGAAACCCGGACCGATGGCAGCCGTAATTCAACATGATTCGGAAAAACTTAAACATTTAGGCTAATCAGTTTTTTACAATATACAGATATTATGCTTTTTAGCTGATAATTAAATTTGAAAATATATATTTAAAGAAATTTTTTTTTTTAACTTTAATTTAATTCTACATACTTAGCTTCCATATCTGAGTTCTCTTTCACTATGAATGGGTAAATGTGAGATAGTGTTATATGAACTCCATCAAGCCTATTAACCCTGAGATCTTCCATCAAGGACTTAGCAAGACCCTGAACTGCAAACTGTGCCACACTCAATGGCATCAAGTCCTTGTTATAACTCAACCCAGCCACCGATGTTAGAGCAATTATATGGCCATGATTTTTCACTTTCATTTGGGGCATTAACTGATCTATTAGCTATAAAAAAATAATTATAATATATATGTACACTACTATTATAAAATTATAAAAAAATATATTATGAATGATTTTATCAGTCCTCCCTTCATACTATTTTGAAAAACTTGAAACAAAAAAAATTGATCATTGTTTTCTTCAATTTTATATGTATTTAAGTGACGCCTACAGTAGTGAACCCCCTATCAAATTCTGTATTGCATTTTGGAATTGTACAAGAAAAAGTTGCATACCCAAATATACGAGTTCAAAGTCAAATCCATTGTAACTTGTATATCTTGTGGTGGGAGAGATATTAAAGACCTAGGACTGGGTACTCCACAACAGTGGAATAGCATTGTAACGAATCCAATGTCCTTCTCAATAAACCTGGTTAGAGCCAAAATATTCCTCTTCTGGGTAATATCACAACAGTAGCCATGGACATCATTGTTTCCCATCTCTTTTATATATTCTACAGTCCTTTCATTATTTGATTCATTGATATCTACGCAAATAACTGTAGCTCCTAAGTCAGATAGTTGTATGGCAAGAGACTGGCCAATACCTCTACCTGCACCAATAATCTGAAATAATAGTTTTACATACAATTACAGTTAAATCTAAAGATAGAAACATTTTAAGTTTTAACTTTTTGTGAAAAGTATGTTGTAGTAAAATCTACTCCATTTGATTTAATAAAATTTATTATATTATTGATTGAATTATGAAACATTTACATTACACTTTACATTAATGGTTTACATTTTACTTTCTTGGTGAATACATTTGATATGAGAAGTATGTCATTTGATTAATTTGCTTTTGAGTCTATCACCCCAAATGATTCTGGACTTACCAAAGCTGTTTCATTTTTCAAAGACTTCATAGGTGGTGGTACAAAGAATTCATACACTGATTCAATAATAGAGATGATAGTATTTATGTAGACAAAAAATATGTCTACCATCAGGACACATAGTGAGTACACACGCAGCAACATTTGGAATGGCAGCATCGGGTTTAAAATAGTTCTTATTAAGCTTTTACTTTCTGGAGACTGTAAAAAAACAACAAGAAATGCAAAACAAAAGGAAACGAAGAAATTAAAATTATAGAGATAATGAATAATTGAATTATTTAGGGTCATAGAAAATCTCATTTGATAATAAATAAAGATGTGTTTATGAGGGTAGGTAATATCCATACATATATAAAAATTAAGAATAAACTTTTATTGTATTAATACATAAATACCTTTAAAACTTACCATATTTATTATAAAAAGATTTACTGGTTAGTTAATAATAAACACCTGTTAGTTACAACCCCTTAAAAACATATAAAACCAAATTATTAAATTTTAAATAGTGCTTTTTATATGACACATATGGGTAAATTGATAAAACTGATTTTAATTAAATAATAATCAAAGCGGATCTTACATGTCAAGTGCAATGCTTTGTAAGATAAGATTACCGATATGGTATTAGGATAATAAATTCGAAGGGACTCTACACAAAAAGATTGATTTAATAAGTTCTGATAAGAAAACGAATTAGTTATCATAACAAATTTACTCACTTGGGTTGCTTATATGAATTGAAGTACGGGTATATACATTTATTTAGATTATATTCTAGTAGATTTAAAAATGTTAAAAAGAAAGGTAATGGAAATTACCGGCCAACGGTTACTGGTCAAAGGTCGTCTAAACTCTAAACTAAATTGAAACTATTCTGTATAATATGTATGTACAGTGGCAAATTTTGAAAGCATAACATTATTGCAAGATTCAAAGAGTATAGCATCACTATTCACTATGTAATGTAACTTAATTAATGGAATCGCTGTGGCTGCCGAAATTTTGTATCTTATGTCGGTTGTCAAAGTTCTTTCGTAGACTACTATTTGCACCTTCATGAAAGTGACAACTGACATCTGTCAAACGTTATGGTGTTTACTGTTAACTGTTTACCATTGTTTAAGTTGCAGTGTTTTGCTATTTACTATTTAGAAATAGAATTTCTATAAATCTTAGGCAAATATTATACGATCATGGCCTTTGTATATCAAGGAGATGCTGATTTAGAAGCAAAATCCAAGAAAGGTATTCATTAGTTTAAAAGTCCTAAAAATTTACAGACTAAAAAATTACAATCATAAAATTGTGTATTTCAGCTGCTGAGCGGATTTCTGAGAATATGCACATTGTCGCTAATGAACCTTCGTTAGCTTTATATCGATTACAAGAACATGTTAGAAAAGCTTTGCCACCAATGGTGGAACGGCGGGTGGACGTCACAAAGCTGCAGCATGACCTACAAGGACGATGCTATGATGTCGAGTATGCTCTGAGGTAACATAACTTTAATATAACAACTGCTTGAGTTCGTGCTACGGTCACAATGCGTAGGGGTGACGAGAAAATAGAGAAGTCATTGTGATTGGCAACAACCAAGGCAAAGAGATGGACTGATCAAGTCAGACTAGTCCTCAAAATTATACACCATTGTAAAAGAAACGCAGTACTGAACTTGGTGAAGGAAAATTATTTGTCCCAGTTACATACAAAGTAATTTTACTGCAAAATAATTATTTATTATTATGTTCTCTTATAATTAGTAACTTTAACAATGCATTTAAATATTATTAAATTGCACAATTGGTTTAAAAAAAAAAATCTATTAAAAAAAGAACAGTATGGCTAAATACAACTTTAAATTTTTCAGTGCTGTGAAATCAATGGATGCAGCTGCTACAAGCTTTCAAAACATCCAGGAAATGATAAAACAAGCAATATTTTTAAAACAACAGCTAAAATATGAGGAGGCTAGAAGAAATAAAAAAGATACAAATTCTGTGTACAAACGTCTCTCTGCTCACATTGTTCTCGATTTGCCAGATCTTTCTGATTTCTCTATGGTCCGTGAAACCACTAATAGAATTGAAAATATTATGGCTCATGCTAGAGGATCTAATAACGAGTTGCATAGATCCCATACAACTTTGCATTAAGTTTTTAAGGGTTAAAATAAAATTGAGTAATACAGTGAGCCATAGCTGTATTAATCAATGATTAGATATTATTCTACTGAGGTGTATATTCAAAATGTTTACATTACAAATGCCTGAATTAAATTTTTCTAAGATGGCTTAATATCAGAAAGTGTTAAATGTTAGCTTAAAAAAGTGTTTCTAGTCCTGGTTTCTCTGAATAGTAATCTTTAAGATTATAGGTGTGATTTTCACTGTGTGGCTTTGCAGCGACTGCTTAATCATACAGATTGTTTATCAAGACTAATTTTTACATTAAATCTAGTCATTACAAATTAGTAACAATTAGTCTTGATTAAAAATAATAAAAGCACTTTACATATTAGCTTTAATAACATAAATTGCTTATAATCACGCTTATTTCAATTAAAAATAAAACAAACTATTCACTTTTTTCTTCATAACCTTCCTTTGCACTGGTAGGCATAAATCGCTATGTTGCTTTATTACATACCCAAAACGAGAAAATTTCTTCTTTAAGTATTAACACTCATTGTATATAGAATTTGTCCATAGAGGAATGGGTGTGGTGCATTGTTAACTGCTTTTATCTATGAAAAATAACAGACCACGGGAGATCCTTCAGCTTCGTTATATAATACCTCTTGTCGAATTGTTTTAATTTGTCCAATGTGGCAGCAGTGGGGCTTTTTATAGTCTTTTTAAAGTATTTTGTAAATATTGATGTTGCTAAACCACTCTCTGAGCCTTCTGTGCTTAATATGCTATTATATATGTAATCTATGGGCACAGCAGAAATGACGTATGAATATACAATATGGTGGTTCTCGGCTTGAAGGGTTTCCATTCTTTGAAATATTTTTGCCCAGTTTAAATCCGAATCTAATATTTGGATGTTAACAAGGACCTGTAACATTTAATGAAATCACAAAGCTTTGTAGAATGCCCTAATTTTAACTAAGTGTTTGATGATAAATTATTTGTTTTGTCAATCGAAGAAGTCTATCTAACCTTCCGCTTTTCTAACAACCGAATTGACGCGGATTATTAATTACGCGGAGCTAGTAGATAAATGCTGTTAGAATCGAATCTTGGGTCGAGTTTAGAACGGGTCATCGCCGCTTTAACTCCTATCATTAAATTCACGCATGAGATGCAAAATCAAATATTGAGATTTAGATTGTAGTGTGCGGCACACGCTTTTCTTGCGGCACGCTTGCGTTGCCCACGAAACGTTTAATATCTTTCAAAAAAGGAAAATTTAGTGATTGTAGAATCAAACCTAAAGCCTTTAGACTAAAAAAGAACATTAAATACTGCCTCGTCTACCGCTGTAAAATCTCCACAGTACCTCATTAACATCATTAATAATGAAGTTCTGAAAATAAAACGAAAACATTCTTTCAACTTTGACTTCATTCTTGAGATGTACTACTACTGTGTAGCCAGGGTCGCTGTTGCGCGCGACGAGATTGTCTATGTAATCAATGTCATAGATAGTACCATCGAATAGTATTGCAAGTCTGTTCGTTACTGGCATATGGCTTTCGACACTAAAAAGATAATATTTTTATACTACTTCGTTTTGTTAGTAAATATAAATTCTAAAGCATCTAAGCTCTTTCCAGGTTCTTAATAAAATCTCACTAAATGACCGAGGCTAGTTTTAAATTGTTTCTTATTGTTTAGAGACAAATACTGGTATTTAAAAGTACTCGGGAAAGTTAAGAATTACTGACTGAACTCGCTAATTCGATTTTGGAAAAAACTAAATTACCCCCCATTTTTAATTCAAATTAGGGCCGATGATTCAATACTTCTGAAACTACTACGGTTTTATAAAAGCATTAAATAATTTACTTGCTAGACGACAAAATTACGGCGTGTCCACGTTTTCTCAGGTTATGTATGATAGAGTACATAGCCCGTCGCACAGAGTATTTTTGGTATGCAGTGAACTCATCAAGAATAATCACTGGTGGAGCACCGATCACAGCCGCCAGAAAATGTAGGCGCGTTACTTCTTTGGGCTCCAAGTGACTAATTGTTGTGTATGTGTAATTGTGAAGCTCTGTAAACAGTTATAACTATCACCATCGCCTAGGCCAGATTGCAGACGTAGAAAAAACTTAAAAATTAAGTGCGCTGTACTTAGCTACTTCCAATAAATGTTACTTTATATTACTAACTCATATTTTCGTACGATTCATAAATTTTCCATATCTCAGCTACAGTTTACATAAATAATATTCGAACTAGGACTACTATGTTGGATGTTCATGCGTTTATCTCTAAAGGGAGCGTTCAAGTATTACGTAACGAATTTTGGGGGGTCCTTTTGTAAAACTTTACGATGCGGGGCAGGGATTGAATTACGCGTAATTTTCGACTTTCCAGTACTTTACACCACATAATGGTAACTTTTAGGTATAAAGAGTCACTAGGTTTTGAACATACTTCATCACAGGGTTGAGTCGCACTTTGCGTGATATTTTTCTTTGTGTGATATAGAGACATTACATTAATACGTACCTAACGCGTCAATGTAATTATGAACTTCCTCCTTAACTCGGTTCTTAGGTATTCCTCTTAGAACGGCGATCAGAGCAAGAGCATCATACACTGTCATCCATTCTGGTAGTGCCTTGTGTTGGCAACTTAGAGTTATATTACGGCTATACTGTAATAAATGTTGTTTTCGCAGGTAAAAGTATTGAGATTTATATGAGTACTTGTAATGTAAATCATTCTCGACTCCACTTGAACACACCAAAAATTTCATAAAAATCTGTCCAGCCGTTTAGGAGTTTAATTACGACCACATGCACAGAAGATTTATATATATAGCAGCTGTTTAGTTGCTGTATAGATAAATAACCTAGATACCGACAGCAGCGCTATCTGTCGGACTGATTTGTGAATCTAAACCATCCATAGCGCCACCCAAACGCATCAAAAAAAATCATTCCAATCGGCCCCGCCGTGTCAGTGTCATACACACGTACAATAGATATATATAAAGATAAATCCAATTAATTACATTACAATGACCGTAATAGTAGTCCGTCTCTCAATCTGAAAGCACTCGAAACGTCATACGTAAATAATAAATTCGTATTATCCGTGAAGAATCATTACATATATAAATGGACTGTACTAATGTGTTAACGAGTAAATATTATTTACACATTATCTATGAGTGCCATGTTTTCCAAATAAACTAAGTAAGTACCTATCATATTTTCTTTTTTTGCACTTAACTTAGTTTGACACTGTTGTGTGTATTAGTTAAAATATCGTCAAAGCAAGATGTATATAAAAAAAATTAAGAATACTAAAATGGAAGTTTCGGTGTTGCCAGGTATGAAATCCTGTAAAACTCATGAAACTATTAATAAAAATGTATTAACCAAGTAGGGATTTCTGTTCAAACTCCATTTGGATGCACTCCACAGCCGTCCGTCACTAGGTAACTTAAAACCTGTAAAAATAATTTAAATAAAAGAGAGGAGTTGTTCGGACTAATACCTGCAGCTGACTTTCATCATCGGACGTAAAGAGAATACAAAATACCATCCGTATCACCTCGACGTCCGTCGTTCCACGACTTAGCGTTTCTTTATGCAATTTTTGCCGCACACCACAACTATGTGGAACCAGCTGCCCACTGAAGTATTTCCTAACCAATTCGACTTAGAGTCCTTCAAGAGCGGACCATTTCTTAAAAGGCCGGCAACGCACTTGCGAGCCTCCTAGCAATGTGAGTGTACATGAGCGGCGGTATCAATTAACATCAGGTGAGCCTCTTTCCCGTTTGCCTATTACATAAAAAAAAAATAATATTAGCTTTATTATACAAAATCATGTTTCTCTGCATTGCGACTTAGCTTATTTTTTACAATATTCGATGCTCTAAAACCTGTGTAAGTACCAAACTAGAATTTCCTAAGGAATTTGGTACTTTTGAATTTACGTTTTAATATACTATTGCGAATCACCTGTTATAACTTCACACAGCTTCAATCTTCCGTGTTTCAGTAAACCGGAGATTGCTAATGCCTCCCCCTTCCCGAGCCCGAAGTTAACGTGACGTATCACATATACGCCTTGCACCCTTCTAGAGACATCCTTCGCTAGGAGATATTCCCCGAACGTGTCTCCTTTCACAGCTAAAATTCAACTATGGGATTTAATTACATCCTACTACCAACCAACTAAATCTGGACGTTAATTACCGATCCGATTTAGAAACTTACAACAGTACTTATAGCTTCTCCACTACTCCGGCATCCGGTTTTAACGATCCGATAATTTGCTAGATCGGAACGCGGTGTTTTCCGGACCGAAGTGATCGACGCACCGCGCCTACAACTTGGGTATTGTGTAAAAAATCTAAGGCAGGTGTCATTCTATAATAAACGTAAACTTTTCTTTCACCTTGAACTAGCATTTCATGAGAAACATAAAATGTTCCTGATAGGCACCTGTTCCTCAACAGAGGATGTACCCAACAACTCTTCAATCTTCGAACGTATATTAATATAGCTAAAAGTTGTTGACGAAAGGGTAGGACTCATTGTGAATCGTAAAACCGAGGAATTTTAATAAAGCACTGCGTCAGGTCTGTTGTTTGACTAAATTTTACTGATCGATTACAGTCGGATAAAGTGGAGAAGCATAATCCGGCCTTCCGATATTTTTCTCATAACTGATTCCGGTTTCCGACGCCGGACCGGAGCAGTGGAGAAAAGGCCTAACTCTGACCTTATTATGATAAATACTTACGAGTTTTCGACATCATTTCCTTTCTCTTACTTAGAACATCTGCTTTCTCTTGCTTAACTCCTTCTGCCTCTCCCTCCGGTTCCTTTAGGTCGAAGTAAAGACATTTCAGGACATAGGAACAAATTCTATGTATGTATTTATACTCCCATATTAGAAGGAGGGTGGACAACACACCAGCTATGGAGAACATAGCATAAATTTCCATTCTTACACCTGGTGGCTTCAAAACATAGTACTGTTTTGAGAAACACTTTTGTAGGACTCCGCATTTGTCTGCAATAACTCAAACTTTATTTTGACACTAGAACATTTCTAATGGTTTTGTTTTTAAGCACTGTATGTATTCTAATGTGTGGTTGCCTGGAAGAGATCGCTCGAAAGCGATAAGGCCGCCAGTTGCCCTTATCATTTAATTAATTGTATTATATTTCTGTATGCAACGAAGTGTTAATAAATAAATAATTTAAAAGTCAATACTAATCATGTGCCTGTTGGCTTAAGTTTGAGTGTGTGGGTGTGTGTGTACGTATTAATAATATTAAAAACATTACAAAAATTTGTTTATTATAGAACATAAGATACAGGTATCACTTATTCCACGTCATTAAATTATTAATCCCTACTCATCGGCAAAGAAGACAGAGGGTGTACGCCGAGAGAAAAAGCCGGCGTAAAAACTCTCGGTACTCCTTTAAAATAGCAAAATCATCAAACAACACTTATTTTAAAACAAATATCGCAAATTAATTAGAAGTAGCCTGTCTAGCACTAGTCCCAGGCCCTTTTATGAACTAGATAATCGTTGACTTTATAGTAAGCCTTTTTACACAGATTTTCTTTAATACATTTCTTAAATTTATTAAAAGGCAGAGATAAAAGAGCCTCTGGGATTTTATTAAAGAAGAGTATCCCTTTTCCCCAAAAATAATTACTAACTTTAGATAGTCTAGTACGGGGAAATTGCAGCCTGCGTTTGTTCCGTGTATTAACATTGTGCGTATGTTCTATTCTAGTAAACTTATCACTATTTTTGTATACATACATAATATTTTCAAAAATATATTGCGAGGGAAAGGTAAATTTCCTTGAATTTATCTCTAAGAGAATTCGTGGGTTATTAAAAATCTTGCAATGATACTTACGGCAGCATTTATGAAGAATTTTGGACGAACAAAGATTTTTCCGTTTAAAAATATTACATTCGCTGTTGTAAAGAAAAATCTTTTTAATTTTCACAAAAGCGTAAGCAATGTTGAATTGAGGCGAAAAACTCAAGAAATTTAGCGCGTAATTTAAAGCGTTACCATAGAAAAGCTTTGCAATTACTGTTGTTTCACCTGAAAATGATTTCAGATTTAAATATGAATTTATCATGAGAATTCTCTCCCTATCTTCTATAGAAGAGAGGTACAAAATAAAATTATTTAATTTTGTTTAATTTTCAACTTTTATTTAATGAAAAATCTTTATCTTCGGTATTCTTTAACTTCCAATAGCGATTGCGATCCCGACTTTGCTGAAGCGATTACTGTGCCTGAATTATATTTAAAAAACATCTATCTCGAGTTTTTGTATAAAATTGTATTAATCTTAAAAGGTGATTTGTAATTCAATTCAAATAAAACGATCAGTTTACATGAACGCATAAGTGTTTTTAATTTATCGTTAAATTTTGTTTGCAAGTGTCTTTTGTCTTTTTAATTACTCTTTCAAAAAGATACTTTATTTTTATGTTTTTAAAACAACCATTACTTACCAAAAACAATGTTGACCATTACAAAAATCATAGAATTTAGTGCCGGGTATGGACCTAGACTAAAGAGGTACGCTTGCGGTATACATCCAATTCCATATACAGCCAGAACAAATGAAATTATTACTGAAAAATCACCGTTACGAAAATATAAGTGAAAAAATGTCCTAAATTATTTAAATTTGGAATGTCTGCCACCATCCTTTAGGGTGACGCTCCTGGAGGCTAAAGTATACACAGATACCAGAATATTAATATAATAAGGTTTATGCTAAGCCTAGATTCTAGCATAATAATATACCGACTTTGAAAATTCTTTTACCAGTAAAAAGCCACATTATTTGTTAGTGTAATATATTTGAGAAAATTAAAACACTTCTCTGTAGTTGACAGATTTGCTGAGAAAAAATTGTAAAACGTTTCTTAGAAACGCTGCCCCGCTACTCCTAAAAACTCCTAATCGTTTATAGTATAATATGTGTGCAAGCTTCCATCAATGTATCGATACACACGCACACTACAATGAATAGCTGACGTTTCGTAACTGACGCTCGGAGCAAACTCCCCGCACCCCGCGATCCCCTCAACCAAATATTGGTGGGGCGCGTCTTCGTGAATTGCACTATCTATACCTACTTAAAGACAAATAATTACACTAGATTTAAAATTTTGACTATGTTTCTTAAATTGGTGTTTTTTTCGTTCATGAATTTCGTTTGCCTATAAGTGCTTGTCAAATTAAAACATTTGTATTTTCCTTTTATGTACCAATGTGTGCCCTAACTGAAGTTCATGATAGGTTAATGAAACGAAATATTCACTTACCAAAATCTATTATACCGAAGTAATGTGGTGCTACTAAGATCATGATAACGACCATGGCTCCAGACATAATCGCCACTAGCATCCAATACATGAAGAGATCGCATACGAACATTGAAAACCAGTATCGCAATGGGGAGAAATTCATTGTATAGCACTGGAAAAATAATAGGTTATACCCACACAATATTACATTACTGCGAGAATGAGGGTAAGGGTATAATTTTGCATCGTATCGGTCATGCACACCGCTGTGACTCAATGCCAACGCATGTGATCATATCGATCGATTCCCAGTCAAACAATAATTTAGAATACGTTAGCTGATCACGTCTTGCCTTAAAATATTCAATGAAATAGACACAAAGGTTTCTATGTGGCTTAATTGACCAAATTTTTATTAATAAGGCCCATTTAACTTGAAGGTCCTAACTTAGACGCTTTCGAAAACAAACTGAAATGTCTGTTCCATAGAGATGTGCGTCATATCGCAGAACACTGTTGTTTTGTAAAACTTGATGAACTTTTCAAAACTCAGATGAAAAATTTATTATTCCTGTACTATTTGTAGAATTGAAGTACCTGTGTATGCCTTACAAATCCACTTTCCATAGATGGAATTAAAATCATATGAGATATTGTTAGTATAAGTAAGAACTCCGTAAAAATAGGCGGCCTCTCCGCGTACACCATCCACTAGAACAAAGCTAATTATATACGTATATATTGATGAATTATTTTTTCCAAAGTTATTAAATTGCCAAGGTTAATGTCGTAAGCTAAAAATTACAACATATACTTAAACGTTTTAGAATAAATAATTTTCTTAAAAAAAATACCAGGCTGCCCTGCGATTCTGTAACTCACTTTTCGAACTCACACAGCGGTTTTCGCATCGGCGGTCGCTCTCAAATCAGTCGTGAAGCAGTCGTTTTATGATTTAGCATTCTGATAAACAATAAACTACAAGCTCCCACCTTTTCGAAGTGCCAAATCGTAAAATGACTGCTTCACGACTGATTTGAGAGCGACCGCCGATGCGAAAACCGCTGTGTGAGTTCGAAAAGTGAGTTACAGAATCGCAGGGCTGTTTTTGAATTTTTAAACATGATGTGGGATGTGCGTGAATGTGGAGTAATAAAATCAAATATTCTCAAATAATACTGTAAAAGACAATACTGCTCAGTCAGATTCTCTTAGTTTTATAAGCATCGCGATTAAATCAATCATTGGAGTTAAGCCCCGAGAGTCTAGCCAGACGCAGGCTCTCTTCAGCATTGATAAGCATAAAAGTGGTTAAAAAGGTTAAAAGGAGTATTAAGAATATCCATAGCGCAAAATCACCTGCATCATGAGCATACCCCACATACACACCTTCACGTACTTACCCTCACTTTTACACCATCAAACAACACAGCCAAATTAGGTATTATTTAGTTGAATGTATTGAATAATTGTTTTTTTGGTTGCTTGATTTTGTAAATTTTTGAACCTTTTTGTAGTAAAATGTATTATGTATTCCATCTCTGTCTATATTTTCAGTGTAACTGTTTGTTATTATATATAATTTATGTTAGTTGTAGGATTACGAAATAAATAAATAAATAGCATTTACAGCAATAATTCATTTAAATATTATTATATTTTTACATTATTTAAAGCACTCTCTTGACTCAGGAACTGTACAGTAGCCTTATATTATAAAAATATTCAATAAAAACTTCATTATAATAATAAAAATAATCTTACAGGCGTTAAGTCCAGGGCTAGTGGATCATCGGTGACTTGTATTGTGGCATCTAAGGTATTCGTACAATGCCTTAAAAGCGCCATATAGGCTCGAGCTAAAGACCTGGCTGCCGCTGCATGGTCATAATGTATTGGACTGTAGAGGACTTTCATCTAAACACCATTAATATTAACTATAATAAGTCTAAATGTTTTTAGTATATCACTCTATTTATTTATTAAGGCGGCCATTCACGGGCGATCCATATGGCATTCGCGCCACGGGCTCGATAATCGACGTCGCGCCGAGCCAAATTCATGCCATTCACGAACGCGCCAGCGAGCCGTTCCATTTGATCATTTTGAGTGTAGGCGTCGATAGCACCGGACGTGTTCATAATGAACTTCGATTTATTCATTCATTCGAAGATGAGTTTTATTTATCTATCATAGCGATTTGTCTAGTTTTAAAAAAAAAGAAAGTGGTGTAAGGATTGGTTGCTGAAAAGATCGCAACTCACTCACATAAATTTAATGAAGGAGTTGACTTTTTTTTTCTAAACTTATAAATAAATTGAATAACAAAGTCACGGTTTGACCTCATAGCGAAAACGATTTATATTAACAATGCGTCACGTGCTTCCCGTCCAACGGCTAAACGCAAACTAAAATCAAAATGGCGTGTTTGGTTTGCGAGTAACAGCATTCACGAGCGAGCAAACCGTATGGCACGACGGCTCAGACCAACCGGACCGTTGGTTTTCCGCATTCACATTTCACAAGCGCGCCGCCTGCGTATGCGCGCCGCGCCAATTGACTCGGCGCGATGGATTTTCGCGCAGTTGGAATTCCATCGCGCCGAGCCAATCCATTTGGACCGACAGTGTTTTCACATTCATGGACGAATTTTGGATCGACAGCGTCCCAAATGGATCGATGGATCGCCCGTGAATGGCCGCCATTATAGTTTACATCATACATATAACATAGTACTAAATCAACGGCATATTTAGCAAAATCTTCGACAATTGAAGTAAACATAAGGGCCGATTTACATTATCTTAGTGTTTAGGAGAGTATTTTAGTACAAGTTGAAAGGCAAGTTCTTTAGTGCTTTAGTGCGTTGCGAGTGAACGTTTACATTTCTTCCAGTAGAGTATCATTATTCATTACAGCGCCACAATGAACGCGCAACGACGTCGGCAAATACGCTCTATTCTACGCAAAATACTAACTGTAGTTATGGAACAAATAGAAGACGAGATTTTATTCGAAATAAATAAACTAAATATGAATAATAAATAAAATAGCTTCTTTTAAGGCAGTGTATGCCGAATGCCAGACACAGTGCACGATCATAACAACTATCAAATTCATGCGCATACACACCCATACGCACACTCACACATTCACTCATACTTAATGTCTGATAAGACAGTGGTAACACTAAATAACTTTTTTTAAAACTGTTTTAAACATATACCATGTACAACTGAATAATTGTTATCTAGTTACCCACAACACAGGGACTCCCTAGTTTGGGTACTAGCGATATATGAATTTTGTCCCAACCCTTTTGTCATCAATAAAGTGTTTATTATTATTATTACTTATATTCCTTTTGCTTTAAACACTATATATGTACCGCGAAAGAGGTGGGATGGGGTGGTTTTGGTTGATTATTAGTGTTACCCAAAATACAAGGCCTCCCTAGTCGGGGCTAGCGTCAGATAATGATTTGTCCTTTTGCTCTAATGGATTGGATAACAAAAATTCATAAATTTACCGATATTATATCGTCCATGTACTGAATATCCAATCCATATGCATACATATACACGTAGTGCTGTGGCGAGTCAATGGCACGAGTCACTAAATATTCTGTTACGCTCTGAAAAAATATTATAGCGTCACGAAAGAATTTATATTGTACTAGGAATATTGCCTGTGTAAGAGATTAAGGTTTCCTTTTTCTGAGTAAGTTAAATTAAAATCATCGAGCGGCACTAACACCTTATATGGACCACCCTTAACATTTAGGGGGATGAAAAATAGATGTTGTCCGATTCTCAGATTTACTGACTTACTGAAAAAAGTTAATGAGAATCGGTCGAGCTGTTTCGGAGGAGTATGGGAATATTGTGACACGAGAATTGGATATATTAGAAGATAATGTTTCTTAATATTACATAGAGAATTAATTATGTATAGATATGTTTATATATACATACTGGGACATCATCCTAAATTTTGGATTTTATGAAAAAATTGCCGTATCTGAGAACGTCATCTGTCACAAAATGGCGGCTAATGTAAATAATTCAAATCGTTACATTAAATAAATTAGAAATTATGATTTAGGAATCATTACATAAGAGCTTAAAACGTGTTATTGCGATTAAACTAAATAAAAGATTCATATTTCTAAAAAACTTACTTCGATATCCAGAAGTGCAGTGTACGCAATATTTTCAATTTCTTTTTCGGTCGCATTAGTTTCAGAAAGAACATATCTGTTGAAAAGTTTATATTACATTTGAATTAAATTAACGGTTTTTTTTTGTTAATAGGTATACGAATAAAATTATATTAATTTTATCAGTGTTACAGTTAACTAAAGTAGGAAGGCTACCGCGTAACATCCAATAGTCAATGCAATAGCGATCTTAATTGAGTTTACGTACTACTTAATTCCAAGTTATTGAAGTTATACTTCTTTAGGCGCGTTATGAAAAATTGATGAGAGTGAAATTTTACGATGCACACGCACCGTGACACAAAATTATCAGTATGGGCGCCGAGCGTGCGCGAGCGAGATGGGAATAAGACAATCTACAAGTAAAAAGAAATAGAATATGCGTGAAGTTAGCAGCTATGCCAAGAATTTTGAATGACCATAATGACATTTGTAGTACCTTTTTAACAAATAAAGGAGTTTTAATTATTTATTCAAAGAAATTCTGTCAAACGGGCAGGAGGCTCATCTGATGTTAAGTGATACCGCCGCCCATGGACACCCTCAGTGCCAGAGGGCTTGCGAGTGCGTTGCCGGCCTTTCAAGAATTGGTACGCTCTTTTCTTGAAGGACCCTAAGTCGAATTGGTTAGGAAATACTTCAGTGGGCAGCTGGTTCCACAAAGTGGTGGTGCGCGGCAAAAACCGCCTTGAAAAACGCTCAGTTGTGGAACGGCGGACGTCGAGGTGATACGGAATTAGACTAATAAGTTCTTAGAAATTATGAACAATAGACTAACGCTGAAGCAATTGATTGCCCGTAACTCGAGTTGTCTGTGCGCACAACTAAAGTAGTCTTTTGTTCCAACGCTTCAACCGTTAAAATCTGGAATGAGTCAATGAATAATCAAAGCCGAATAAAACAATTATGACAAAATTTATCTATTCATTATCCTAATCGAAATGATGTATAACCATATCGCCTTATAAAAGTAAACAAGGCCACAGAATATTAAAGATTTCGAAACGGAAATCAATCATGTTAGTTGTTTCGACTATGTATTTGCGTGTTGTTCCCACGAGAATGTAAGTGCGTGCTCCTATTTCACCATGCCTCCTGCTGATAGAGGACAAAGCTTTGTTTTTAATTTATTTTATTATCATTTATTACTAAAGATGTCATGTGGAACATGGTGTAAAGGTTGCATGGCGATTTAAAAGAGTGGCGGAGAGTTTATTGCCAGTTCTTCTCTTCCGTTCTACGTCCTTGATTTGACAACTGGCACTAAATGTAAAATTAGAAGCATGTAATTTATATTTCTTTTTTGACGTTCATAACTGTACATTGTTATCTACATGAATAAATGATTTTTGACTTTGGAAAAGAGTGCAAACTATTTGAATAATATTAATAAAAAAACAATTAAATAGAAGAATAACGAATGTCATGGTGTTCTTTTTCAAAGCCTGGCGTAGAAGAGCATAATAATCATTGTCTATAGTTAAAGGAAAGCTTACATCACCATGCAAAATCTTCTTAGCGACACGATCTTCCTCAATATCACTGAGAAGCTGCGATAATGACAACCCAATAAAAATTCCAGCTACAAAAGCGGAGATAACCTAAAATATTCATCAAAATGATCACAAAAATAAATAAAACCTTTCGACAATAATCACGTCACACGTGAATAAAATATTTTAAATTCTTACGGGTTTGACAATTGACTTGCTCCACAGATTACTTACCGTAAAAATCAAAACAATTCTATATTGCTTATAAAATGATGTAAATTTTTGTCCAATGTACGATAAATGTATAAAATTATCGAAGTTAGATATTCTTGTGGGACTCCAGTTTTCAGGAGCTGTAATGGGACGATTTTTGTAACTTTATTTTTTGAAAGCTTCAGGCTACTATTAAATACAAATATTGGTTTAACGACTATAAATGCGAATTAATCGACTGCGAGTTACGATCATTGTTTTTCTACGAGACCAATCGTGAGAGTGCATTCAAACCCCGTTTATACACAGATTAGCATTAGCAGAACATTAATCTCTATGCTCGCAATAAACACGTAAACAAGTCCTACAAAAAGCGTGTAATGCGAGAAAAGTTTAATATTGTAACCCATACATACAACTTTCAATATGTCCCAAAGCAGTTCTGGATATTGTGTGTTCACGTGGAGTACCATGTGTTGTGGCTCTTGATTCAAATATGGCTCTAAAACGTTAATACAAACATCTTAATTATCTTTTAATACGTTGTCTAGAGTTCACAGTAGTCATCCAGCGGCACTATTTCGGTAAATTACTGACAAGGCTATCTCCTAACTATTCATTGGATTTAGAACTATAAGGGTATCTTTCTTAAGGTGGGAACTGACCAAAGTTACGAGGTGTAATGTAACACGTTACACAGCGAGCATTCGTGCAGTCAGTACGTCGTGTTACGGGGAAACCAGCGAGCAACGAGCGAGAAACGAGCCGCTTGTTGCTCGCTTTGAGTGCTCCACCCGGCGGTCGGTTTTTCAGCGAATCCTTTGACTGCTACGCGGGTCAGTACGCGTCGCACGTCGCGAGTGATCATGATTATGATTTTATATAAATTGTGTCTTTTTTAAGTACTCTTGGTCCAAATTGTTTTATACTGTCCAGTAATCATTCGGTTTTTTAATATTGCAATCAATAACAAACCACCTCATATGCCTGTGTTTTTAAATAAGTTTGATGTCCAGTAACATTTTTTTTTCTTCTTAATTTGGATGAAACAATAATTTAATAGAATGAAAGATATCAACACGTCCTCGCTGTTGGCCATCTCGTGAACACTGGCGGAGAAAGCGGAGCACAGAGTTTTGACGAGCATGTTACGCCGATTTTAGAACACAGCGTAACATGCTCGATGCGTAACACGCTCGATGCGAATGCTACATTACACCTCGTAACTTTGGACAGTTCCCACCTTCAGGTGGGCGAATCGTTTAACACTTTAATTATCGAGATAGGTCCAAACAGAGTAATGCGTGGACGGACGAAAATTACGAATGGAAACCTTCCTTAGATATTTTCGGTTAACCGACTTTCTAAGTCCTCACAAGGATGTTTTAATATAAATCACCTCTCATAATTAAAATAAAAAATAAATCAGAGGCGCTACAAGCTTTTTAGGTCTGGGCCTCAGACTTCTGTATATGTTTCATGATCTGACTTGTCTTATAGGCAAGTAGGGGATCAGCCTCCTGTGCCTGACATTTCATTCATTTAACTTTTTTTGAAGTGAAACTTCTTTATCGAGGTTGGAAAAAAATTTAGTGTAACATTTTTTCGTTACGCGTCAAATTTTTCGGTTACGCGCCATGTTGCTTTTTGAAGTCAAACTTCTTTATCGGCGTTGGAATGAAACTTCTTTATCGACGTATGGGAGAAATTTTGTAGCAAATCGTCACGTTTTTCAAGATAGTAATAATTCTATTACAATTAATGAAATTCTATAATAATCTTCGTAGTAATAAGGTAAAATGAAATATTTGTATTCATGTCTATGATAATAAAAGTCTTTTGTTAAACTTTATCTAATTTAACGAATTTCTGTAAAGTTGCATATAGTAGATCATTTTTCGAAAAATAAGATCATAAAGAAGTTTCACTTCTTACGTGTGTACACCTAGTACACGCACAATTTTTATATTTTTATATAAGTCTTTATCGTGCAATCAGTCAGCTAGACTATGAGCAGATGTGTTGAGAGCTGTTAGACGTTCAGAGCAAAATCTCCTTAGGATTTGTCGCCTTTTAAGCCTATTTATTAGGTCCGGTATGGTTAGTTGCGTGGCAAGCTTATTAGGATGCTTTTCTAGCCTTTTTCTGTATTTCATACTCCAGGTCTTGATCTCCTCTTTGACAGTCCTGATTTTGATGTGCTCATGAATCTCCAATGTTTTAATAAACCACGGACAGTTGGATATTTGTTTCAAGATGTAATTTTGAACCCTCTGTATGATACATATGTTAGAGTCACACGCCGAACCCCATAGTTGAATCCCGTATGTCCAAATTGGTTTCAAGAGCATTTCGTAGATGAGTAGCTTATTATCTACTGACAGTTTGGAATTTCTGCCAAGAAGCCAGTAGAGTCCTCTGTATTTCAGGTTGATTTCTTCTCTCTTCTTCTGTATGTGTTGTTTCCATACGAGTCTCCTATCAAGGTGTATTCCCAAGTATTTTACACAGTTTTCTTGCGGAAATTGTTGATTGCACAGAGTTACTGGCGGACAGTCTCCTCTACGAAAAGTTAAGGTTACATGAACGGATTTTGTCACACTAGTTTTTATTCTCCACTTTGAAAGCCAGGTTTCAATTTCTTGCAATCCAGTCTGTAGGAAGTCTGAAGCTTCGATTGGGCTATTACTACATGCCAGTACAGCAGTATCGTCTGCGAATGTTGCTAATGTGACGTGTTCGCTTTGTGGTAAATCACATGTGTAAATGGTATATAAGACTGGGCCCAGGACAGACCCCTGCGGTACTCCAGCTTTGATTGAGTGAAATGGCGATGTACAATCTTCTTCTCTTACTTGAAATATTCTTTGTGTTAGATAAGATTTAATGATGGGGAAGAATGTACAGGGTAGAAGAGTTTTTACTTTATTCAAGAGACCTTTGTGCCATACTCTATCAAACACCTGCTGCACGTCTAAGAAAGCAGAGGAGCAGTACTCCTTTCTCTCTAGTGCCTTCCTTATTACAGAGCAGATTCTATGGACTTGTTCCACAGTGCCATGCTGCTGGCGAAAACCAAACTGGTGGTCCGGGATTATGGCTCTTTGATGAAACTCCTCCAATAATCTGTGCTGTAGGACTGACTCAAAAAGTTTTGACATTACGGTTAGCAGACTAATCGGCCTGTATGAGCTAAGTTCGTTCACTGGCTTCCCTACTTTAGGTATCATAATTACTTGTGAGACTCTCCACAGCGATGGAAAGTGTCCAGTTCTTATTATGCCATTAAATAAGTTGGTTAGAAAAACTATGGCTTTTTTGGGAAGTTCCTTCAAGACTTTTTTGTCTATTAAATCAAACCCGGGAGCCTTTTTATCCTCCAATTTTGAGATCGTGGCCACGACTTCTTGACTTAGGACCGAATCTATGAAGGAATCATCAGTGTCTGGGTCAGCTTCATTAGGCGTGAATACTTTTGCTAAGTGAACAGCGAAGGCGTCAGCTTTTTCTTGTTTTGTCCTTGCCCAAGTGTTATTCTGCAACCGTAACGGCGGTTTGGGATCTATCGGTCTATTATAGTACTTACAAGCTCGCCATAGAGAGTAGTTTGTAGCATTTGTTGCAGTTAAGGAATCTAGATAACATTCCATAGTTTTATCCCTTGCATTTCTTATGGCAAGTTTAAGATCCTTGACTGCTTTGTTAAGAGCTCTTTTATCTACTGCAAGCCTGCTAGTGTGCCATACTCTTCGCAGTCTTCTTTTGTTCAGAATCAGTTCTTTTATTTCAAACTGTGATTCAAGTGCTCCGGAGAGGTTTTCCAGCAGGCAGCTTGAACTGTTGTGGTGAAATGCTTTGTAGCTTCTTCGATATCCTCTTCTGTTTTAAGTGCTATTTTTAGGCTTAGCTCTGTGTCAACTATTTCCCGGAAGCCATCCCAGTCTGTGTATTTGTTGTACAATGTTTGCCGAGCTTCTTTCTTAAGAATAGTGGTGCTCACTGTCAATATTACAGGAACATGGTTAGATGAGCTATCGAGGCATGACTCAACATTGAAGAAAAGTCGAGACAGCCCTGTTGTGATGAAGAAGTCTAGAACGTCTGGCAGTCTTTTCTGGTCTGTGGGCCAGTGTGTTGGTTCCGGAGTTGAGACAGTAGTCAGGAACTGTTTATCTACACTTTTCTTCAGCTCCCTTCCACGTGTAGTTATTAATCTAGAGCCCCAGTGCGAATGCTTCGCATTCCAGTCACCCCCAGCAATAAATCTGTATCCCAAGCTTACAAAGTAGTCGGAAAACTGAGCTTCACTTATTTTATGTTTTGGGGGACAATAAATTGATGATATATTAAAGTCTCCATTTCTGTCACTGACTGCTACTGTGGTAGCCTGGATATGTTCGGTACGGTAGTTTGGTAACACATGGTGTCTAACAGTGGCTTTAATTATTACCTACTGCTGTCCCGCCGTGAGCTGTACCGTCTGGATGATTTGTGGAATAGATCTAATATCCTTTAATTCTTATCGAGCTGCCGGTTGTCATATGTGTCTCTGAAATTAGGAGAATGTCTAGACTATGAAGACTGATCAATATTTCCACTTCATCGATGTTGGGTGCCAAGCCATTGATGTTCCATGTAGCTATTTTTAGTGCAGTCATTTTGTTAACTTAGTAGTACGGGAGGTAGCAACGTTTTCGAGAAAGAATTTTAGGTCAGCTGATTTTGTGATATGTCTTCCTTCTTGCACTTTCGGTTAGAGTCTTGGCAATCTGGCTGGCGGTAGCGGTTGCGTTCTTTAGTGCGCATCCTAATTCCTATCTGTCCAGGTAATATCCTGGATTTTAAAAGCATTTTAAGAAGCGTAATTTTTAATTTTTCGTTTTTAAATAAGTCTACCTGACATACTTTTTTTATTGCCAGACATTTTTCACATTGCTAACTATGTGCCAGACGCGATTTTAAGTTTTTTTTTATAAAAATTTCAAAGTATTTTAGAATGTCTGTAATTTTAATATTATGTTCTTTAAATATAAGAAAAACTAAAAATGAATTTGCCAGACATTAATTCGGTTGTTAAGTCTTGAATTAAAATGAAAAAGTATTGCAGTATGATGAAGCGTTGCATTTTAAGAAGCGCAATTTTTAATTTTTCCTTTTTAAATAAGTCTACCTGACGTACTTTTTTTATTGCCAGACATTTTCACATTGCTAACTATGTGCCAGACGCGATTTTAAGGTTATTTTTTATAAAAATTTCAAAGTATTTTAGAATGTCTGTAATTTTAATATTATGTTATTTAAATATAAGAAAAACTAAAAATTAATTTGCCAGACATAAATTCGATTGTTAAGCCTTGAATTAAAATGAAAAAGTATTGCAGTATGATGAAGCATTGCATTTGAAAACAAAAGTATGTCAGGTAGACTTATTTAAAAACGAAAAATTAAAAATTACGCTTCTTAAAATGCTTTTAAAATCCAGGATTATTACCGGACAGATAGGATGCGCACTAATGAACGCAACCGCTACCGCCAGCCAGATTGCCCAGACTCTAACCGAAAGTGCAAGAAGGAAGACATATCACAAAATCAGCTGACCTAAAATTCTTTCTTTTCAAACGTTGCTACCTCCCGTACTATAGTGACTAGTACTGCAATGAGTTCAAGTAATGTACTCATTTGCTGTAATACAGTATCAATCTTTTGGGATTGTTGTATAAACATTTGTTCAATGACTTTATAAGAGTCAGGTTGATGGATTGTATTATTTTGATGTATCTTATATCTGGCTGGATCGGCATACGATTTGTGCTCATGTGCTTAAAGCACAACGCACATAAAGCAGGTGTATTGCGATCCACTTTTGTGCATTCCGATGTTTTGTGCATTCATTCATTTAACTATCATTAAAATATTACAGAATCGGAAACAGTGCCGGAAATTAATAGATACAAATAATAATATTATTTTTTTAAATTTACAATTCGATATTTGAGATTTCAATAAATTATTTTGCATATATAAAATACTAATATTTCATGTATTCTCATTACGAAATTTCAATTTTAAAAATCGTAAGGTTCCGTTAAAATTTTACCCTCATGCGCCTTAAGAAGTTTCACTTCAAAATAATATATTTGGAATTACCTATTGCAAACTTCTTCAGAATCGGGTATACTGATATTCATCGAAACGATCCCATACTTATCAGCCCCTTCGTGTAGCGTTTGAATTAATTTGGCAACATTAGCTGTGGGGTGTGTTGGCACTTTAAGAATCAACAAAGTGCCAAGATGCGCCCTTATCGAGGCCCCAGCTTCCGAAGCCTTTTCTAAAAGCTCATCATTTTCCTCCGTGTATCTGTTACTTCCAAATGTTACTCTTACCCTGTAGTCTCGACCTATGTTAAAATATAGTGTGATAAGTGATACAGGAATGTACTCTAATGAAGTTGACGGTTTTAGGATCAGTCTAGACGTCGCGGTGACTCATGTATACAAAAAATCACAATCTGAACCTAAAATATCTTATTTCGAAAGGAATTTTTATTTAAAAGATCTCTGTTGTACATGCTTAATACTTAATAGGTTACAGAAACTCATAAAGCTTTTCGCTCATTATTTTTAATATACTTTGAGTTTTTGAGTAGAGATTTGACACTTTGATTAGCAAATTTGCGTCAACTTCATCAGACCTTTAGAAACTAGACAATTTTCGATATTATCGTATGGGCTTAATTCTGTAAGGATAGTGTATGTATTTTTGTGAATAAATAAATAAATGTCATTAACTATTCTAAAGCCATAAAAGTAAACTAGTTAAATCAGAGAGTTAATTGAATCTCTAGATAGTTAATTAAACTAACTACTTAACTGTGACATATATATCTATAGTCTGGATTAAAAACATTTTCAAATTCTCACCGTATTTGAAGAACATATATGCAGGTGTGCCGCCAAACAACAAGGTCTTATTGTCAAAAATGAATGCGCGATCTGCATATTCCAAGAACACACTTGAAAAACTGAATTTTATCAAAGTGATATATTTTCGATATTGCTGTAAGGATATTGCAAAAGTTGATTTAGTAAACTTCAATTTAGTTTTATTTCAAAGGTTTACGGGTAAACGGGTGTAAACCGTAGTGCTGGTCGATTGTCAATATTCAATAAATAAATTTGATGTTGCTCCTAGCTAGGTTTAATATAAATTTAAACACATCGCTTCGTCATTTTCGAGATAACCGGATACAAACATACAAAAAAAAAAAGTTTTGACTGTCAATCTTATTAATCGACACCTATTTGTACTGATATATTATTTCCATGATTATAAAAATAAAGATTTCGCTTACCATTATTTTATCCTTGATAACAGCTATATAATTCGCCTTTCCAGTGAAATTTGGTATAATTATTATCTATAAAGAACATTTTATACAAAGATTTATTATGTTAGATTTTATTTAACATCAATTGGTTTATTTGCTCTTCACAATATTGAATTTTACTTATCACATCTTTGTGAGAGACTGGACTTTAGAAGTCCTGTGATTTTCAGCCTTCCATCGCAGATATGGTAATGAAAATTCACACAAAATTATTCAAGAACAATAAAAACAATATAAAAAATGAATTAAAATTAACTGACCCTTGGCTCAAGAAGCATAGCAATCGCCCAGCACAACTGAGCACGATAGTAATCATCCAAAATGCGCACATAATCATTTTTCACTGACTCCAAGTCACATTCTTTCATCAGACTTTGCGAACGCAAATGTCCATACTCAGATATGAATTGGCTGGTTTCATTCCAGAGGCTTATCTGGAAAGATAATAGAACTGTAACTTGTGTGAAGAAAGGAAGGTGCTGCTCTACCTCCGACCCAAAACCCAGTGGCGTGATTCGTAATCATTTGTTTTTTCACAAAGTCATGTAAGTGATCGAGTGAGCCTTCGGTGGCTGACAGTTGAGGTACGAACCTACGACTTCAGGGATATGACCAATGTTGTCTAGTGGTTTGAGCTTGCAATCCGCATCCCAGAATTCGCGCTCGAATCACGGCTGTGTATGGAGTTTTCTTTCGCATTTACAACCACGTGAATACGAATATCGCGAGAAAACAGCCCTTAAAATCTACGACATTTCTCAGAAGGCTGATCACTAAAATAAAAACAAAGAAACCACGAACCATACAGGGCTGTAGCTTCATTGGATTATTATTATACTATGACGTAGTACATTGCTACTGAGCCTGTAATCTAATAATTAACGAGCAGAAAGAGACTAGCTTTTTGCGCCTGTAACTGTAACTGATGTTTTGTTTGTAAGAGGTAATGGTTTTATTTTATAAATAATAATTTGTCAAAATATATTTCAATTGCTTGATATATACACTCGAAGACTGAAATCGATTTTTCTACAAGTTACGAGACAGACAAGTTATAAGTTTACGCGTAATTTGCGGCTTTTTAGTGTAAACAAGTTCCTCGTTGATTTAACGTATTTAAAAATAAACCCTTGAAGAGATCTACGGCGTTTTATTTCCGATCCCCTAGCTCGTAATAATATTGTTAGCGGACTTACGCCATTTTGTAGCAGAAACCTATATAAAGCGTGGCAACACCGGCGTTGACTCACTTTTATTTCGAGACTTCGTGCGGAACGGACTTGTTACTAACCTAACCTCAGTAGATTTTAAAAGTCTGAAGTACCTACACGTTCTAATCTTTTGTGTTTCCTAATATCAGAATTGGGATTTGAACTTTTCGCTCACTTCTCTTTTGTTTTGTTTTGAGTAATCTTTGTGGTTTAAATTTTCCTTCTCTTTGTGTCCGTAATGTACGAAGTCACAAGTGATTAACATTTTAAAAGTGCTCTTTGTGTTAAAATGTTGTTTGTGTTTGTGAGTGCAACAGTGTCGCATTAAATTCGGGATCGTCTAGTCAGCAAGGTAGACGAGAGATGCTTTGACAGAGGACGGCCGAACGGTTGAAGAACAGTCAAATCAATCAGGACACTGTCGTTAATGTGGGTCGTAGACCCCCCTTGTAAATTCCAGAAGGATGATCTGGTCTTTGTTATTAAGAACATGCAAAGGTATGGGTTTCTGTTTTAAATTTTTGTGGTGCTAATGTTTAGACCACTTTGAGAACATACAAGTGTATGGGTCTCTGTTTTAAGTTTTTCTGGTGCTAATGTGTTTAGACCACTTAGAGAACATGCAAAATGTATGAGTCTCTGTTTTAAAAAATTGTCGCTTATGAGAGCACTAGGAGCCACTGTCGATACGACGGTGTATTGCAAATATACTGAGTTTTATCTTTATTTGTGTTAAGTCTGAAGCTATCTAATTCTGTAATATTTGCTTTTTGAAAGATCAATGGACAGGGTAACCAGTCCCAAACTCACGATCTTCCTGTATAAATTGTAAAAAGATCAATGGACAGGGTAACCAGCCCCAAACTCACGATCTTCCTGTATAAATGGTAACAAGATCAATGGACAGGGTAACCAGCCCCAAACTCACGATCTTCCTGTATTAATGGTAAAAAGATCAATGGACAGGGTAACTAGCCCCAAACTCATGATCTTCCTGTATGAATGGTAAAAAGATCAATGGACAGGGTAACCAGCCCCAAACTCACGATCTTCTTGAGAAATAAGTAGACCTTTATACCTTATATCTACTCTTATGGTGATACTAAACTTGTGATTGTTTACACAAGTCCTTTACACATGAAAGTGATAGTTTGTTTCAAATCTTGTAAGGGTTATGAATAATCTTTCACTCATTCCTTGGAGTCTGATACTTTAAAGTTCCTTTCTATCTTTCATTACTTTGATTGTTTGTATTAAACCAAGTAAATATGTTCAGCTGCTGACCAAATAGACGACGCAATACCTTCCCAGAACTGTAATGTTCTAACGTTCTATTCTACCCACAGAGATGACAGTATAGACGCTGGGATATCAAATCCTGACGAGGACGTCAGGGTGTCAGGAGAGGCCGTGTTAGCGGACTTACGCCATTTTGTAGCAGAAACCTATATAAAGCGTGGCAACACCGGCGTTGACTCACTTTTATTTCGAGACTTCGTGCGGAACGGACTTGTTACTAACCTAACCTCAGTAGATTTTAAAAGTCTGAAGTACCTACACGTTCTAATCTTTTGTGTTTCCTAATAATATTATTATTAGTCATGTTTTATTGTACAGTCAGGCGTAGTTGAAGTATTTATTTATTTAGTAACCCTACAGCTAACAATTATATATTATAACAAACAATTACTCTAAAAATATAGCCAGAGATAGAATACATAATATTTAACTACAAAAAGTTTTAAAAATTTACAAAATGAAACAAACAATAAAAATTATTCAATACATTTAACTAAGGGGTACCCAATTTGGCTGTGTTGTGTGATGGTGTAAAAGTGAGGGTAAGTACGTGAAGGTGTGTATGTGGTGTATGCTCATGTTGCAGGTGATTTTGCGCTATGGATATTCTTAATACTTCTTTAACCATATTCCCCGATAGCTTAAACTACTTACTTGCTCTATACAACTCATACTATTTCCACCCTCTGTACCTACTTCTACTGGCCCTTGACAATAAGGAACGCCCTACATTAGTAGTCTTATATCATAATATTGAATTATACTAACAGACATAAAGAAAGTAAGATGTTCATCCACAGTTAGATCGTCAATGAGAACCTCACTTCGATGGCAGTAACCCATCATTGTTAACATTGATATTGGGTTCAATCCCGGCTTCATTTCCTCACCAAGAATTGTGATTGTACCCTTGTCTGGGAGGGTTAAACCTAAACAAAATTCAACCAAAACTTAAAATCCTTCAATAATTTTGTTAGCAATTTCGCTAAGCGTTTAATGTATTTATCTATAACCATCGAGGGTTTGTTTAGGTAAGATTTAGCGAATAAAAAAGTCCACTTACCTTATTCTTAAGTTAGAGGTAAGTTTTTTAATACAGTCTTTATAGACTACTAATTAATGTCTGTACTTAATCTATGTATTGCTTTTTTTTTCATAACAGGGGACAAACGGGCAGATACGGGACATTGCAAGAGGGCTCGCAATTGCGTTGCCGGCCTTTAAAGTTTACTTAATAGAATAGCAATTACTCATCTCTAAGTTAATCAGCGCTTCATAAGTATTTGGTTTTTCCCAAACGTAAGCGAACCAACAAATTCACAAACTATCGTAAATCGTTTACTCCTTATGTCAAAACCATCTCGGCGATTCCAAATTTTACCCTAAGGCTACTGAAGTTTACCCGTCATGAGATCCTCTATGGCAGTCAACATTTTAACTTGTATCCTCTCGGCGTACATCATCGTATATTCACCACGATAAATATCCAATGTTACGTTATTTACTACTGGTTTATCCAAAATTAACTGAAACATTAGTTTAATTTAAAAAAATTTAATCACTTTTTTCGTACATGAATGAACCTTTGTCTTGCCGACTTACGTGCCGGGAAATATAACTATGCTTAATAGAAATATTAAGTAAACTTATTTATTCTTCCGTGGGCGTTGATACATTGTTTTTTAACATTAAGTAGTAAGTCCTGAGATATCCATGGCTCGAACCGAATAACAAAAATGCTTAACAACTGTCAGTCAGAATAAAGAAATAATTATTAGTATATGAGAGAGGTTAGATTTAAAACAAATACTTAGCCTTGTGATCAATAGATGGCGTAATGAAATAAATTGTCAAAAAACTAAAACAATTTCAAATTCTACCACGTCAACCATCTACCAGGACGAAAACCAAAATTATAATGTGGCAATTGGCCGCGTCATAAAATATTAATCATCAATTTATAAAATACTAATATCTATTTTGAACAATTAAATTTTGATGTTTCATGTATAAGCACTAAAATTCATGAATTAATGAGCCACGCCCCGTATATAGCATCAAGCAAAAATATCTTTCGAATAGTAAACTGTAATATGCGCAAAAATCAATGCGTTCAATCTAATTGAAAATCTCAGTAATGTATACAAAACTATTGTAAATGTTATCCGAAGGTTACAGAATATAATGCTAAATACTTTTCTTGCCCGGTAAGAGCGTCGCTGTCATGGATATTAGTATTGCCAGTAAATAAAAATTAACCATTATAAGGCGCGAAACATACAGAAAAGGCGTAAGGTGAAGGCGCGGCGCAGGCGCAGAGCCGGCGTGGAACAGATAAGGCAAGGGTGCGACTTAAATTATATCAAAGTGGCGAAGAGACGGCACAAAGAGTCATTGTGACTTTATCGTGATAGCATGTCTTCCTCTTCAGATGACGAAGATGCGCTCGCTTTGGTGCTAGCGACGCGGAACAGGCGACGAAACGACGTGCCTGTGCCACGCCGCTTGAGTATAATTAACAACGTGCCGCTTACACGCGTATATTTTGTATTGACGCGTTTTGAAGCGGCAAGATGCCTGCGCTGCGCCTTCACCTTACGCCTTTTCTGTGTGTTTTGCGCCTAAAGGGAATAATTTAAAGTCATGCAGGCTAACTTAATAATTTATTGAAATGTCTTAATAAAACAATGTATTCTAGTATCTAGAAAATACAGTTCTAGGCTTAAATAAATGTGACACAAACCTAGGAACAACTAATATGATAGGTTACCTGTACTATTAATATATCTTTTATGATACCTAGGAATCAGAACCGTTCGATAATTCAAACTTTGCCATTGTAATTAATAATGCAAGGCGCACCAAGAAATTGAGAGCTAACTGACAATGTCAGTCTGACATTTCAAAATGGCGACGGTAGTACCAATTTCAGCCGCCGGCCAAGAAAAGTATGTGGCACTGTACGCAGGTTTAACCATGAAATGATGAATCATCAAATATTGATAATTATGTAAATAAAGAACTTGTTTTGTGTGTTCTAATCCTACCTTGGACACGTTTCGCATACTAATAGCCTTCGCCACCAACTCATCTACTTCCTGTAAATTATCTCGTTCTCTGCCCGTCGGTGTTTCTATTTTATGTAATTTATTTAAGTCCTACAAAACAATTTCGTATATTGCACATATGCTGCGCTGATTTTATTTTCGTATATGAATAATATATCTAGTAATATAAAGACAATATGGAAGAAAGATGGTTTGAAGTATACTAGCCGTCTAAAAGGTATTTTATTGAAACTTAAAATTAATTCTTACGGGCTTAAATGTTCGAGGCATTGTTTTTTTTTAAGAATACATTTTTGGGGAAGCTATTCCCTGCATTATTATGTAGGTAAAGTGTCCATTACTTATATAATGATATAAATAATTTGAAAAGAGGTTTTTACCATTAACTTAGGAGATATAATAGTTAAAACAATGCATCAGAATAATCACCATACCGCGCGTTTTCTAATTCAAAGTTTTTATTAACGTACTTCGACTTTCTTAAAGAGAATCGATTCCCATGAAACCTCGCCACCTATAGCATTTTCCTTGACTGTTCTCTGCAGCAGCATTAAGAAGCTGAAGTATAGGGTGATCATGAACAACCAAGATAGTATCGTGAACATCACGGAAAGGAATTCCAAGCGTCCGTCCTCTGTGAAAAATATTCTATATATAATATATATTATATAGTTCGCTATTTATACTGGTTTCATTTTTAAGTATAATATCAGTATAATATACTTTCATATGAAACCCGGCGAATATGATTTATACGCCCTGATAAGTGCCCCGAGAAGTTATATATAGAATTAACGAAGTGGTTGGAGGAAGCTAGTTAACAGATCCAAATCGAAAGTTTCATATAGAAACGGAAATAACAATAAGTAACGTAGACTAAGAGTTTAATAACAAAACTTACGCCCCTATGATATTTAATTTTTTTAACAGTAGGGAATTAAAGTAGCTTTATTAATATTATTATTTAAAATAGACAATATTCTCTCAAACATACGGCCAGTCTGCAATAAAGCGAACTCATTGAAGCCGTGTTCCAGGCCCAAAGGTGGGATGATCAGGTGTAGGAAGAAATTCAGAACGGCATTCTTCGTATCGATCTGATGATGGATAATCAACTCAGCCACAAATGTTTGCATCAGTGTGAACAGCGTCGTCCATAGAATCGCGACCCAAGCTAAAATATTAATACACAAAAAAATGTTTTGTTTCTTTGCTCGAATTGACATATTAAATTTGTGCCAATCATCTAATATAGAACAACGATTTTAAAACGATGTTTCATGTTTTGTTCTTAGTAGGTTTTTAAAATCACACATATATAGTATATTCCTACTAGTTGAAGGCCAAACCATGAATACAATATACATATATTCTGATTATTATAGTTTGACGCTCTCGTCGGTTGACATTTCACGCTTAAAAAGTAGCTTATTATCTCAAAGTATATTCAAAGTTTCATGTAAATATGCACTTACTTTTATATTGAAACATAGACATAATAAGCGCCATCATAATCATCACAGATACATAACTTAAAAGCATTATGAAACTGTAGAACAAGTGTATCCAGCGAAATATTAGGAGTAGCGTTGTACTGGCCGCAATACAGGCTGGTAGAACCGTCAAGTAGCCATAGACAATCCAGCCGAGGTACATAGCCGAATAATCTACGTTTCGTAGACGAAGTGCGCGCTAAAAATATAAATTGTGAATAGCGTATCCACTGTTGTTCTGTTCAATTACTAATATCTGAAGTTAATTGTGTTTATAAGGCAAATGTGTTACTTCATTAAGAATATAACCTTAAATTATATTAGAGAATTATCATTGAATAAATTCAAAACACTCGTTAAACGTAAATTAATCAATAAAGCTTTTTATAAATTTGACGATTATTTAAATGATCCTAATCGTTGGGATTGATTAGCACCAGTTCAAACAATTTGTATTATTAAAAACTTGGAGATTAAAAAGAGTGGCGAAGAGTTTCTTGCCAGTTTTTCTTGCCCGCTCTACACCCTTGACGTGCAAACTGGTAGTAAATGTAAATTTAGAATCAATTTAACATATTTTCTGTTGGCGTTCATAAGTGTACTTTATTACCTATAGGTCAAAATAACTTTATTCATATATGAATAAAGTTATTCTGGTTTCGAGTTGCAATGTAATAATTACCTTAAACCTATTAACTGACTCCCTGACGACAAGAGCCTCCGTCTCCAAGACAGGAGGAAGGAAGGCTAGAGTGAAGCAAAGCATTATCCCCGATATAGCTTTACGAACTCTGGCCTCTTGCATTAGAGGAGATACTGGCATCGAGACAAGACTTAACTAAAAAAAGAAATAATAGACAAAAATATGAAAGTGAAATTTAAATTTCGAATACTGTTAATTGTTATTTGTATAATTTAAATAGGACATAATCTGTGAATACAGATATTAGATAACGTCGATTTCATTTAGTTGTGAAATAGCTTTTATTCAATGTTATCTTTGCACTGATATGAAGTTTGCATTTAATATTGTACGGAATATATTTTTATCAAAATATAAGTAAATGCTATTATACTTTATCGCTTAGTATTAACTATACAATAATTTCATCATGTCTATCACAGCCGAAATAGCTCAGTTGGGAGAGCGTTAGACTGAAGATCTAAAGGTCCCTGGTTCGATCCCTGGTTTCGGCATTTCCTTTTTGTATTTTTTACTACTTATCTACACCAAAAAATAATTATACACCTTTTTTTAGAATCATTTTTGGTATTTTTTATTTATAAATGATGCAATATTTAAGTAAAATCTTGTAAGTTTTAAACAATACCTCATACTCCGGTACCGTTGGACTGACATACTCCAAGATGGCTTCACTGACAGCCAACTGAACAGCCAGGAAACCGCTCTTTAAATGGGGGTTATGGGATACTGTACGTTCAGATGTGGTGACGAATCGAGCACGCTCAGTGCTGCGAATACTGAATCTCCACATTTTATTTTCCTGAAATTTTAACAGACTCCGTAATTTTATTTATAGCCAAAAAATATTTTTTTATCCTACATTCGGCGCAATTTTTCTAACATCTATTCTTTATTCGCCTCCTTAGCCTTAACCTTTAGGATTAAGAAATAAGAAATTAGAAACGTAAACCAAATGTTAGCAATCGTCGCACACTTGAAGCTAAAATGAGCCCTTTAGTTTTTTCCACTCATAAATTACCCAGCCGTCGTCCGTCACCGAACTTAACTCGGAGACATATTTTGGGTCGCAGTGCCTATTCATTAAGCGAACCTTAAGCATAAGGTAGCTGCCAAAACTAATTACTACCATTTAGGAATACTTTTGATTTATTTGAAAAATATACCTCCATTTTCCATATAACCCATATTATTGGGCTACTTATCGGCGTGCCTTGCGACATGTTGTGTAACATGGTGTTGAGGTGGTCTTCGGTCGCCGCATTCATAGTCACTATAAATTAGAAAATAAAAAATACACAGAAAAGTTATTTTCAATTCCAAAAAACGTCCAAATTCTGGTGATGAAAAATGATGTCGCAATTTGGTATACGGTACCTAAGCTTTTTCTAAAAAAATATACATATTCAAAGTCAAACTAACTTTATTCATATAGGTTAACAAGTACACTAATGAACATTAACAGAAAATATTATAAATTGATTCTAAATTTTCATTTACTACCAGTTCGCAAGTCAAGGGCGTAGAGCAAAAGCCGTAGTACAAAAGGAGCAATTTCTAAAAAAAATTTACCGCCTCTGAAATGCATTGAAACGTATTCATTAATTTCGTATGTGTAATTGTCTATGTATAATTAAATGTACCTATTAATTAGTTATTTATAGAGGATATTAAAATCCTGTAAGGCTAAACTTGGCAGTCAAAATTAGGATAAGATAGGGTAACGCCTATAATGGTAATTCTCTTTGGCGCGTCGAATTGTACTGCGATTTTTGATATCGTTTTAAAACTCCAAACTCTTAGGTTAGTAATAGATCCGCCCTACCATCCCTTACTGTAAAAAATAGCTAATACACACCTCAACGGCTGACAACTCAATCATTTTAATGGTATACCTTTATAATTGACTATCATACATAATATACAAATATCAAAATTAGGTTACGGCGTACCAAATCTTTTAATAATTATAAAGCGATATTTAATAAAACCAAAACCCGGCTTCATTCGGATGGACTTTTGGGCAATAAACATTTCTAATAGTAAAAGCATTTGAAATAGTTTTGATTTAATTCCTTATAAATAATATTTCCTCCTTATAATATTAGTAAGAATCCTTGAACTCACCAACTCCCAAACGATCAGCAGCTCGAGACATAATATGCGTATACGGTGGTATGTTCGGTGCATATCCAAGTATATTATCCGATCCGAATGACGCAATAATATCGGCAGTCGTCAATGGAGGCTCGGGTACTGCCTGCAGAGGTGTCATAAACACTGGCTTCCCAATAAACACCGCAATACAAAAGAGAACTATTGCAAACAAGGTTTCCAAAACTAGTAGTCGCCAACGACGTCTGCAAAGGTATATATATATATATGTATTAGGCTGTGTCTATTCGTCCGTCAACCGTATGAATAAGGGAGCGTTCAAGTATTACCTCACGCAATTTTTGGAGATTATTAACCCCCCTCATGTAACACGCCGTAACGTTTTTCTGTACCCAAGTATAATGGTTTCGTAACCACATAGTGACTCTTTATACATAAAAGTTATCATTATGTGGTGTAAAGTACTGGAAAGTCGAAAATAATATTAACAATAACGCGTAATTCATCCCCGCCCCGCATAGTAACGTTTTACAAAAGGAAAATTCGTTACGTAATACTTGAACGAAAAGGCTGTCTATTCATCCGTATATCCGTATGAATAGTCACTGCGTATAACTTACTGTCTTTGCAAATATGACTTCCAGAAAAGTGTCGATGTCTGTCTTTGAAAACGACTGTGTGTGGGTTTTAAGTATTCGTCTGCAGTCATTATGGCTTAATAATTAATCTAAAGAATTCATAAATTACTCTCTCATCACGTCCATATCACGACATTGTCAAATACCATAAACTAGATATTAACAATGACATTCATTCTATGTTCAAAAGAGGTTATATATTACAAAAAACAAACAAGTTGAATCGTATGTTTTTTTCTGTCACACAAGATGGCGACATATTTAGTTTAAATTTGTAAGAGACAAAAATAAACCTAAATCTATACTAATATTATAAAGGGCAAACATTTGTGTTTTTTTATGTATGTTTGTATTGTTTTCACACAAAAATAACTGGAGCGATTTTAAAACTCAACATTAGAAAGCTGCATTTTCACTGACTGACTGGCTTACATTTCAAAAAATAGGGATGCCTAACAAAAACGCAATAATATAAATATAAGCTAAATAAACTTTTATGATAACAAAAATATATCTATAGTCCGACGTTATTGGACATTCCACTAACAAGAAATCGGTATCTACGCAAATAGATAGAAACCGCGGGGCATTACTAGTAGAAAATAAACCAAATTTCATAGGTACTTGGACATGTAGCCGGGTTTCCCAATAGTGACAAATTTGTTCATTTTATCGTAATATATACAAATATATACGTAATCAAAGTCAACGTAAAAAAACATTTATTCATATAGGTAACACAAATAAAAAGTAAAGTAAAGGTAAAAGTACACTTATGATCGTCAAAAATGAAATATATATCAAATTCTTCTAATTTTACATTTACTGCCAGTTCTCAATTCAAGGACGTACAACGGAAGAGAAGAACTGGCAATAACTCTCTTTTTAATCGTAATACATAGAATACAGTTATTAATTTGTTAGTTTTAGCATAATATACAAGCTTTCACTCTACTAGATAAATGCATTTACCTTATAACGCATAACGCATTGCCTCGCTTCTGCAGCGCATCAGGAATGTTTGCAGAGGCGCGGGTGGATTGCTTTTTCGCCACTATGCGAAAGCGGTGCGCGTCTTTGGTGCGCCGGATGCGGGGCAGCTCCAGCAACATCTTACGGATGATAGTCGAGAGGATGGAGTGCCCCTATTTACGACACTGCTCCGACATCTCCGCAAAGCTTTGTACCTGATAGTTTTTATTTAACTACTTTTTCCTTATTTTTACTAATTCTACTAACATAGATCTTAAGAAACTATTGTTACTAACTCACTAATCAATCAATGGACTGTATTTGTCTGATTAATAAAAATTATTATTATTATAAACTCATTTAGTTTGCACAATAAAAAATTCTACTAATAAAAAATCATCTAAGAATCTCGTTTTTAGCGAAGAACAATCAGCGTTTTCAAACAATGATTTTACTTGATGTTTACTGCTATGGTATATTATAAATAATATTTGCCAAATATATCTTAAAAATTCCAATTCGTTCAAATATAAAACCCAACCAATTTAACCTGATCCATAATAAGAGGCTTTTATTCGTTTATTTTACGCTGGTCAGTCTTGTGTACACTGCTAATAGTCTTAAGTAGGTAATTATATAAATGGATGATATTTCAAAAATTATTTATTAGTGCGTATATCATGGCGATAATGGTTCGGTTTAGCTTAGTTCTTATTTGTGGATTATTTGGACTTACGAATGCAGGTATTTTCACATACATTATTTATATAACTCAAACTCAAAGTAACTTTATTCATATAGGTAAACAAGTACACTTATATGTATATGAGTTTAACAAAGTACTAAGGTTTTTAAACAATTACTTGTTAGCGTTTTAATGTTACGAGTGTGTTGTTGTTATACTCTAATAGGTTTAAAGAATTGTATTCTCATTAAATAGATATATGTCACACACGTGAGAAAAATAAATATTAAAAAAATAAAAAATAAAATATATCCACTGTCGTACGCTCTGCATCATAGCGAAAAAATCTTCGCAGGCGTATTCGAAACGTATCTCAAAAGGAAAGCTGTTATAAAGACTCCGAAATAAGTTATATTTTAGCGACCGTATTCGGTTCGGATTTTAGGTAGATGTATATGTATTATGATTAGTAATATGCGGGCTATATGTGGTATTAAAGCTAAATTTAATGCTTGCGTGTATTTGGTTATTTATTTTTTAAACTAAAATGCATGTTGTGTATTTATGCAACTGTTAAATATTCATTAATTTAGTGTTAATGTAAAGTTTGTTAGGTGTAAGAGTAGGATAAAGAAAAATGATTTTAATTATTTTATTTTGTAAAACATACTAGTTGAAGCGCTACCCCATACTTCTAATATAATAAACGTCAGACTTCAATACAGTTTTATCGTACTTCGCGATTATTTACACCCTAATACCCGACTCTGAATAAAACCCAAATACTTTGACTCGCGATAGATGTTTTTTATCACCAACAGTTTGATCAACATTTTAGCTGTGTAGTTATTATAACATACTAATATTAATTCAATTAACTCCTGTTACAAATATTATTACCCATTAAATATTTACAAAATTTGACAGTGACATCATTGTGATGATTTTACAACAAAAATACAAGCAAATACGCCTATAAGGCTTTTAATTATCATCAAAGTGGGAAAACGTTGTATTGTATTGTTATAAATACCAAACAAATGAGTTTTTGTGCAATACCGAAGGCTATATTATCAGGTACTAGACCTGCAAAGAAGCGATATTAGCATTTGCTCTGCGGTGAGAAAATCGATAATCTCAACCCATAATGAAAAACAGCGAAGACGCAAAATCTTATGTATAAAATTCTCGTGTCACAATGTTGTTACCATACTCCTCCGAAACGAAAAAAATATAATAAAATTTCGGACCGAAATTTATTGATAATCGAAATTTATTAATAAATTTCGGTCGACTTGACCGATTTTTATCAAAATTTATTTGCACATTCAGTAGGTTTGAGAATCGGCTACTATGTATTTTTCATACCCCTAAGTGATAAGGGTTGTCCACCTCTAACATTTTATTTTTATTTTTTTGGCCATTTTTTTTGTTTTTATTATTTTATGATACAGCATACAAAAATACATACCACCCCTAATTTTCACCCCTCTATGATCAACACCTATTTTTTATTTGTTAGTTAAAATCTTATGAACTGCACTCTGAGGTTTATATAGAGAAAAATACACAGAAATAAAAAGTTGTCATTCCAGAAAATCGAACAGACCCTGGGATAGCAAAATGTTCCAAGTTGGTACATACTAAAAAGGTAGGCTAAGTAACATCACATTAAGGAGAAACGAAGTTCGCGGGGGCAGCTAGTATATACATATAAAAATATATAACTGATAAAATTCTTAAAAATTACTAACAAAACACACACACACAGAAACATACAAAATGACAATAATCAAAAAAATATAAAAAGAACTTTTAAAGAACATGGTACGTTTTCATTGTGTAATGTGTGAGTGCTGTGGGTGTAATTGGCCCTGGCTCAGCATTATGCTGAGGAGCAGACTGTTCCACAGCGCTGGTCATTCTGCCAGAGACCACAGTAGCTAGTTTGCGTCTCAGTCGCAAAAAAAGAAAAGAATGTAATAATAATGAAACTTAGTAGAAAAAAATATAGTAATTACTACAACTGTCTTTCATACATGCACACGCATATTATGATGTTCTTAGTATTCTATTTTTTATTTTTTCTGATCTATTTCTTTTATTAATATTGTCTTTTTATAATTATATTAAAACAAATTTCAGGTGTCCGTGTAATACGGTCCCCGCAGTTCGACCTTAGTGGGGCCAGTTCGAGCGCTTTTTCTGGAATTCGAGGCCTTTTAAGTGGATTTCAATCTAGACCACCTATATTTGAAGGAGATTACGGTTATGGCCAAGGAGGAGGTTTTGGACAAGGGGGAGGCTATGGACAAGGGGGAGGCTATGGACAAGGGGGAGGTTATGGACAAGGGGGAGGTTATGGCGAAGGTGGTGGATTTGGAAGTGGAGGAGGTGGCCAAGGGGGAGGTTATGGACAAGGAGGAGGTTTTGGCCAAGGAGGAGGTTACGGCGAAGGAGGAGGTTATGGACAAGGAGGAGGTTTTGGCCAAGGAGGAGGTTACGGCGAAGGAGGTGGATTCGGAAGTGGGGGAGGTTTTGGGCAGGGAGGTGGATTCGGGTACGGCCAAGGTTTTGGGAAGGGCCAAGGTGGATTAAGTTTTTCAAAGAGCGTCAGTATTGGCTTAGGTGGTGGGGCCCAGTCGGGCTCAAGCGCATTCTCATTTGGAAAGTGAGAGTGTGAAGACTGACTAGTATAAGGAAATTTATGTGACCTAAAAGGTTTTGAAAATCTATTTTTCAATAAATATTCATTAGTCAATGGTGTATTTTTTATAAAGACGAACTCCTATAACAGTGATCAGGTAGACACATGCTGCATCTACATATTTTATTTATACTATTTATTAGCTGTTCCCTGCCACGCTTTACTGTGGCACATTGTGATTGAATGGTTGAGAAATGAGAAACAAAACAAAGAAAACATTTCATATAAGTTTAATTTTGTAATAGTTGTGGAAAAAATAAAAAAAAAACAAAAAAATGTTAAAATAATAGATGCTGATTATATATCATGCTAAAATTTCAGCTCGATCGGTGCAGAACTTTTAAGTTTTTGAAGCGTACACAAACCAACATAACATCTAATATATAAAATTCTCGTGTCACAGTTTTCGTTGCCATACTCCTCCGAAACGGCTTGACCGATTCTCATGAAATTTTGTGTGCTTATTGTGTATGTCTGAGAATCGGACAACATCTATTTTTCATCCCCCTAAATGTTAAGGGTAGTCCACCCCTAAATTATTTTTTTAAATTATTAAATAAATTACTTATTTTTTTATTTTTTATGATACAGCATAAAAAAATACATACAACCCCTAACTTTCACTCCTCTACGATCAACCCCTATTTTTTATTATAAATGATATACATGGCAAAATGACGTTTGCCGGATCAGCTAGTTTTTATATATAAAGATAGTGTAGTCGTAGGTTCAAACCCCAACGTTGCACCATCTTTACATTCTATTTGCGCGTTCAACACTCGCTCGTACGGTGAAGGAAAATATCATGAGGAAAGAAGACAGAAGGCTGAACAGCTATTTGTCTGTCTTGATACATAAAACTGTGGCCCAGACCCAAAAATTGTAACGTCACTGGTTTTTTAACAAATTTGGACAAGAGAGAATCGGGAATCCCGTGCAAAATGTACAAGGACTCTAGGAAACCCCTGTGTACAAAACTAATATTCATACAGGTGTTAATAAGATTGTTAATCTATAAATGTTACGCGTGATAGATATTTTTATCATTTAGCGGTCAGATAGAGATCATGGCACGTCTCAGTTTGGTTTTTGTAGCAATTTTCGCATTGCTGGGATCGTCGTTTGCAGGTACTTATTACTATTATTAAAATACGAACAATTTTAAATTTTTTCTTCGATATTACAATAATTTGTATATATGAATTATAATTTTCAGCTACGCGCGTTGCACGTTCTCCTCACTTTGGATTTGGCCAAGGTTTTGGCGGAGGTTTTGGTGGCGGTTTTGGCGGTGGATTTGGTGGTGGATTTGGTGGTTACCCTCACCCACCCCCACCACCGATATATGGTCCGCGATTCTATCCCCCACCGCCACCACCAGGTTTTGGTTACGGCTTAAGCGGATATGGCCACCATGGTGGATTCTACCCGGGATATCCTGGTGGATACGGTCAAGGATACCCGGGTCTTGGTGGCTTAAGTATAGCGAAGAGCGTCAGCATCAGCACAGGTGGAGGTGCTCAGGCGAATTCAGAAGCTTTTGGAAAATAAGACTGTTAAATTAAAAATATTTTAAAAACATGCGTTGAATGTAACACGATTTAAGTATTTTGTGGTTATAAATAAATTATAAGAGAAATATTTTGCACATTTTTATCATTGATATTTAAAAAAAATCGTTTATGTTTATATGAAGGGCCATACATGGGGCGTGGGGTAAGGAAAATTTACCCTACTAACCAAGGTGGTCAAATATGAGCTACCAACCTAAGAGAGAGATATCTATGCGTTTAGAAATGGATAGTCACAGTCGGACGCAAGACCTCTCTCTCTCTCTCTCCACTCACAGGGTTGAGGAAACCAATAAGCAGTTGTTGAACGAACCTTTTAAGCCTCTTAGGAAATAAATTAAACTTGACTCTTATTGAAACAAATAAAAGCTAAAATCAAAATGTTTTGATGTAGATTTAAAAATTTTGTATATAAAAAAACTAAAGCGATAGAAGAGCACTACACATATATGATATACCTAATTCATGGTATTTAATTACCGCTTTAAAAAAAATACTTTTAATAGTTATAAATGTTAATGAATACACCGTAAGAAATAAAACAATATTGAATTATTTATTTGCCAAGATGTACTGAAGTATTAATTTAAGAAAGGCTATATTTACAGAATTTAAATATTTAAAAAATACTAACTGTAAGTTTTGTTGCAGCACGAAATCAGCACAATAACAAACATTCTGGTTCAAATAAGATTTAAGTATAGTATATTTCTAATTAGTTATTCGGTAAAAACATTGATACTAGCACGTCTAAGAACTCAAAATCTTGGCCTCTGAGTCGAGAAAAAGTACATGAATACTAGAATTTTATATTCTTTTTTATTATTTTTGAAGTGAAACTTCTTTAGGCGCATGAGGGTAAAATTTTTACGGATGAAACGCAATTATAATAATATTAGCGTCACGAAGATGTGCAGCTTTTGTCGAAGAAAGGGAGAGAGCGATTGAGACCGATTGAGAGAGTGTGAGAAGGGCGAATTACATTGTAGAAATTCTATTTTTAAAATTTCGTAAGGAGAATTTATGAAATATTATATTTTATGCAAAATAATTTATTGAAACCTCAAATGACGAATTGTAATTAAAATGCCACATGTTTTTTTACACTTTTAATATTTTAATGACAGTTAAATTCCTAATATATCTTCCTTTTTCCCTCCCTCTAAGTCTCGGAAATCTAATGTTTTAGATTTGCAATTGATTTACAATTTTCTTAACGTTCATAGTAATAATAAAAATAATTAAAAATGAATAAAAGGATTTCCTTTTATTTTTTATTCATTCTTAACTAAAACAAATTTTAAATGTTTGATCCCCTTGGAAGTGTACCTTTAACGCTGGAAACATCTTCTCACTGCGTTGCGATACTTATTCTTTGGTCGAGGAAAGCACCAGCTCTGGGGTCACCGGTACTATCTACCAGACGCCAACTTAAATCTTTGTCTCTACTCCAAAGGGAACAAAATCGATGTTGGAGGAAAGACTTAGAATCGATGTTATATTTGAGGTATTTATTATTTTCCGTCTGCTCTGCGGCCGCCCCAGCTTTTCGCTTGTATGAGGGAGGTGAGACGGGGCCAGCCCGTCCCATCTTCCAAGGGATCAACGACATCGCATCCGGCCGCCATGGCGTCCAAGGCCACTTACTAAAATTAATTGAAATATGGATAGTTAAATAAAATTATTTCGATATATGTACTGCATACTATAAATTAATACGAGTATAATAAAAAACAATAACTAACTTTAAAATGTATTATTAAAAGGAGTCCCTTTAGGCAAGGAACCGAAGATACTGGCAGCGTAACCCCCTTTGAATAGCTAGACTAATTCTCTTAAATAAAATGCAAGCTGCCCTGCGATTCTGTAACTCACTTTTCGAACTCACACAGCGGTTTTCGCATCGGCGGTCGCTCTCAAATCAGTCGTGAAGCAGTGATTTTATGATTTGGCATTCTGATAAGGTGGGAGCTTGTAGTTTATTGTTTATCGCAGGGCTGATGTTTGAAACTTAGCTGAAATTCAGTTCAGTTACACTCTCTTATATGAAAAATTGATCTAAAGAGATGAGGATTTCATAATCTTTCATTGATTTCTAAATATACTTTTACCACATAAACACGCAATTTCAGAATTACGCTGACTTCGTCATGTGCAAAAGAATTATAGTGAAAAATCTATATAGATCATGAGATCCTTTGGGTTTTTTGATTTCGAGATGAAAACACCTTGAATTTCTAAGTCAACTTTTTGCCGCTAAAAATAAACATTTAATAGCAAGGACAAAGAAGAATTCTGGTAAGCCCCGAAACCACAGTCACAATGTCAACACAGAAACGTCGGCCGCAAATGGGTTTTACTTTGAAATACTTTTGTGATATATTTGCCATATAAAGTGATCAGGTTCCGTAGACAAATGAATTTTTAAAATATAAACGCTTCAGTGAAACAGAGTTAATTACTTTATTTTCCCACGAGTATAAAGAGCGGGTAATCGTCGGAAGTCGCAAAAAACAATTCCGATCGTTTAGTACTCCAAATAGCCCTCGGAGGAGCTTCAACGTCACAAAAAATTATTCTCTAGTCTATATATCTAGCCTATGAAAAACAAAGAAATTATTATATATAATGGAAGTTAGGCGATAGAGCACTACACATATATATTCATGGTATTTACTTACCACTTGTAATAACACCGAAAGAAACAAAACAATGTTGCATTATTTATTTGCAAAGAGGTACCGAAATATTAACTTTACGGTAACTTAAAGGTATTAATTTAATTTAAGAATGATTTAAAGAATTTCAAAAATACTTTCTATAAGTATCTAAAAGTAATTTTATTAAAAAACAATTACTGCATGCCGCAACACGAAACCAGCACAATAAGAAAAAATCTAGTTCAATATATATATTTTAATACAGCAGGTATTCGGTGAAGAAAACATTGAAACACGTCTAATACCCCTAAGAGTTGGTCTCTGAAACGAGAAACTTCCTCAAATTTCTGTCCTGTGTATGGCCCTTTTTAATAAATACATGAATACTTGAATTTATATTCATACGTTATATTGAATTTTATATGATTACTAGCAGACCGGCCAAGCGTTGCTGTGGCTTAGGTTTTTGTTATATTATTTAGTAGAAAACTATTCAAGGGAAACGGTAGGAGAACACCAGTCATGGGGACCACCATGCTTTTTTGGTGGTTATGCCATTAAATTGTAGCTTATGTGAAACGTTGGTACTTTCAACACAGCGCCATCTGTTAGAATTGTGCCTATCAAATAATAAACAAATATTTTGCAATAAAATAATATTGCGGGTATAAATTGAGATGTGAGCTATCCTTTATTTAAAGTTGGATCAAACTACACACGGTGTGCAAATTTGATTGATATTGGTTCGGTAGTTTAGGAGTAATTCGTAAAAAAGAAAATTTAAAAAGTTTGGTCCCTGTAGCAGTGTACCTTTAACGCTGGCAGCATTTCCTCGCTGTGTTGTATTATTCGTTGAGCGAGGAAAACACCAGCTCTGGGGTCACCGCTACTATCAGGCGCCAACTTCAACCTTTAATTAGCGCCTGTGCACTTGACCCCACGGCCCATGAGTATCCACTCCAAAGGGAACCGTAAATTTTATTATGGATTTCCTCTCACATTGCGGAATTCTCATAGTTAAATAAACGTATCATGTACTGCACTAATAGTCACCTACCTGTTAATAACTGATGTCAATATTATATATATTGAGAAGATTATAGGTGATATGTCAGTTGTAATCAGTAAATCACTCAAAATGGTTCGATTTTTATTATATTTTGTAGTTTTGGCGATTTTCGGGCTCACCAATGCAGGTATTTTTTTTATTTATATTATGTATATAACACATTATATTAACTAACATGGATTTTGAGATCATGGTCCTACGTTGGAGATCGCATTATAAACTGCTATGCTAAATTATGTTAAGAATTAATAGGAATAATTTTTCGCTATCTGAAAATAAAAGTTTTTTTGTAAGATAAAATGTTTGTTTCGACGTAATCTTAGAGTAACTGTATAGATCGTAATGTGTCGCAGAAAAGGGTCGTTTTTATCTTTTATAGGGATATTTCTTAGTTCTTCAAGCTTCCTGTAAGTTAATTAGATTATTAGGTGAAGGTCACGATTATTTTTTATATAGCGATTATTATTATTATTTAGCGATAGTAATACCGATCCCAACATTTTTGTATGCAGTTTCGGAGTAGTTCTTCCAATATTCATAGCGCTGATGTCGCAACTTTTCAATGGAGCGGTATACAAACATATGCATAATTGGAAGTTACTGAGTACGGGCTCAGATTCAAAAATTTTCGGCTATTTTGTGGATTTATTTTGGTATAAATTCATTGATAAAAGTAGCCTCATTTGTAAAACCAAAACAATAACATAATCGATATAGCAAAGAAATAATTAACGTTTTAAGTTTCTACAACAAAAAACACTTAATGTTTAAATTTTTGGAATTTAAAAAAATATTTTTAATTGTATTATTTCAGCACGAGTAGTCAGGTCACCACAAGGTTTCGGGCAAGCCAGTGCTAACGCACAGGCTGGATCTTTCGGAGGTGGCTTTAACAAATTTGGTCCACCACCACCACCACCAGGATATGGCGGACCAGGTTTTGGTCCCAGAGGATTTGGTCCTAGAGGACATGGCCCCGGAGGATTTGGTCCCGGAGGTTTTGGCCCTGGAAGTCGCGGCCCCGGTTTTGGACCTGGAGGTTTTGGACAGGGTGGCTTTGGACGTGGTCTTGGTGGTGGATCCTTAAGTATATCTAAGAGTGTGAGCATTAGCGCAGGACGCGGTGGTGCCTCTCAAGCAAGTTCGAATGCTAATTCCTTTGGAAAATAAATTTAAGACTTTATACTACCATTAAGATATATGTACAATAAAATGTTTAGATTATTATTTTATTTTATTTTTACCCTTGCGTCACCTTTGGAATTAATAATGCAACATATGTTTAAAGGTTTTAAAACATCGTATTTACTTTTCATTTTATTTTGGTGGACATATATTTTTACAACATTTTTGGTAGAAATTGACATGTTCTTTAATATTGTGGATTTTTTTTTGTTCTATCATCAATAGTTATCGCATCGCATGCGATAAAAGATATGTTATAGGCATTTTTTTTACTCCTTGGGTAACATTAATGTAGTTTTAGTAGGGATACTTATTTTTTTCTTGCAATTAAGATAGCTTATATTAATCAATGATAATGTAGCATTCAAATGGTGAAATAATTTTTTAAATCGGTCCAGTACTTTTTGAGCCATTTCGTTACAAACATACTTACATACAAATCTTTCCTCTTTATAATATTAGTATAGATTCATTATTTTTAGTTAACACCACAACATACAAAGTTAATTCATAAAATTAATCAAAAAAGTTTATGAGCTATTTTAGACTTTTGTAGTGTAGGTTCTGTCATAGTTCTAATTATAATTAAGGAAAATATGTGTAATATACGATGAATTACTAAAAATTACCAATGCTATTAATATTAAAAACGACACATAAACCAAAGTAGTAAATTGTCTTTTATCCAGCTCGCATTCTACTGGACAAATTAAATAGTTTAAATTCTTTGATCGATATTGTTATGAGATTATATATTTTGATTATGGTATTCAAGGCGTAAAACAGTGGTTTGTAAAAGTTTGTTTGCTCATTACATTTTCACCTATTGGAGGTACCTACGATGTTGTATGCTATAAATTCACGAGGTTATTCAGTATTGCATCAGTTTTATTTGTAAAATCAACCAAATATGTGCCGTTTAAGTATTTGCTTTGTTTTGGTTTTAGTTCTTCTCAATGTAGGCGTATCATTAGCAGGTAATTTATAATTAGTATTTCATTGTCTCGCGCGAAGTTTTGGAATAGTTTTGCGGAGACAATTATTTATTTGGATACCTGCTACTTGGCTTGTACAACTGACTTACAGTGTATGTTTGTATACTATAACTAGCTGGCCTGGCGAACATCGTACCGCCTAACAGTCGATTCTTTATTTTTTTTAAATACTTATTCTACTATTCGGGACACCGGTCTAGCTAGTATGATAAAAAAAAGAAAGTTGATAAGACAACAAATACACTATGTCAAAAAATTAAAATTTACCTTCCCGGAACCCCTCCACTAACACTTGAACTTTATGATATTGTTACGAGCTAGGGGATCGGATAGAAACGCCGTAAATCTCTTCAAGGGTTTATTTTCAATTAAATCTACGAGGAATTTGTTAACACTATAAACTTGAAATTACGCACAAAAATTCACTAAATACACACACAAAATACTGTCACTTATTACTCTAATATCACGCACTTCACACAGTACTTGTATTCACTTTTCTTCACTATATTCGCACTTTGTCACTCCGGTGTTTATCGCTTGGTATCGCATTCAAAACTGAACTAACTGGTCGCGTTTCGGCTCGCTTATATATCCCTGGGAATAGTCTTGAACGATGTTCGAGAACTCTCTAGGCGGGGCGCGCTACTGAATAGCGATCGCACAATTCTAGAACGTGCGTACTAGCTATCTCTCTCGCACATTGCTCCGTCTTTGTCATACGGTGTTCTAGAGTGCTCGGTCTAGCTTCGAGAAGGTTCCGATCTTCCGTCTCTCTCTCGCATCATTCCGTCCTTGTCCCACACCTAGAAAATTCGTTCTAGACTATTCCTTCATCAAAGGGGTATAACCAGGCCTGAAAACGCCTGAAAACGGGTTTCCTGAAAAGTGTACCATTCGACTACACGTGTTCTGAAACGGCCTGAAAAAATATTTCAGCCTCCTGAAAACTATGGTAACATTCTGTAAATTACGATTTTCTGATATGTGATTGACCCTCTCCTGAAACGGTCAGAAATCACATTTCAGCCTGCTGAAAACTTCTCTAACTAGTGGAAAAATCTAAAAACATTGCAGTCGACCCGTCTTCGTTACACTACCCCCTCCTTAGACATGCTCGTCCCGAGCATCATTACTTCCTTTATAGGGAGCCAATCGATTTATGTGAACGACTTTCGGTTTGCTCCTTAAACCACTCATTTTCTTTATCCGGTAAGTAACGTCATTAATCTTCGTGACTATCGTGTATGGACCGTCCCAGTCAGCTTGAAGCTTTGGTGATTTGCCTTTGCGTTTTGTTGGGTTATGGAGCCATACTTGCGAGCCTTCTTTAAATTCTATGTGATTCGTCTTCCTGTCATACCTAATCTTCGTAGTCTCACTTATTTTGCTTTGTGATGCTCGTACGTGTTCATGAATTTCATACAGTCTATTACGCAGATCCGCAGCATATTCTGTAACACTCTCCGGAGTGTCAGGTGGTCGTCCCGTTACAATGTCTGCTGGTAATCTAAGTTGTCTCCCAAACATGGCTAAAGCAGGTGTTACATTCGTGGTTTCATGAACCGCAGACCGGTATGACATTAAAAATAATGGAATATACTTGTCCCAGTCTTTTTGATGGCTGTCCACCAGTTTTGCTAAGTGCCTTTCCAAGGTTTGATTAAAGCGTTCCACCATTCCATCTGACTGTGGGTGATATGGAGTAGTCCGCGTCTTATGAATTCCCATTAGTCGGCATACTTCTTGAAACAATAAAGACTCAAAATTTCTTCCCTGATCACTGTGAATCTCCAAGGGTACTCCGAATCTAGAGAATACGTCATTTACAAGTATCTCAGCTACTGTAACTGCCTCTTGATTGGGAATAGCGAACACTTCGGGCCACTTCGTAAAGTAATCCATAACAACCATGATGTACTTATTTCCTTTTTCTGTTATCGGAAATGGTCCAGCTATGTCAACGGCTATCCTCTCCCATGGAGCTCCGACATTGTATTGCTTCATACCAGCTCTAGTTCTCGTCTGTGGGCCTTTGACTGCTGCACAAGCCTTACATTTCCGAATCCAGTCTTCCACATCTTCACGGCAATGTATCCAATAAAATCTCTCTTTAATTTTCAGAAGAGTCCTTTTTACTCCTAAGTGTCCGCCCGATGAGCCATCATGAAACATTTCCAAGATGTTGCGAACTTTGGATCTTGGCACCACTAACTGTAGATGAGATGCATCCCCTCGAGTGTTTTCCCATTTGCGACATAACACTCCATTATGAAGAACTAAGCTATCCCATTGAGCCCAGTAACTCTTGGTCGTGGTGCTAGTAGATGCAACATCATTCCACCGCGGCTTGATAGCTGAAGATTTCATCCAGTCCAGAATTGGTTTAATGTCAGAATCTTGTTGTTGCTCTTCCTGAATTAATTTCCCACACCAATCTGGACTAATCGTGTCTGTCCTTAGTATCCTCACATGGGCTACCTCTCTACCTTCGTGTCTTGTACAATGTTTGCAATCCTCCTCACATGGCCTTCGAGACAATGCATCTGCGTTCCCGTGGGCTCTGCCCTTGCGATGTTCAGTAGCAAAGTCATACTCTTGCAGTTGTTCGATCCATCGTGCCACTTGTCCTTCCGGATTCTTGAACTGAAGTAGCCATTTTAATGCAGCATGATCTGTCCTAAGACGGAACTTGCGACCTAGCAAGTATTTACTGAAGTGCTGCAGCGTCTTCACAACAGCCAGTAGTTCCCTCCGAGTGACACAGTAGTTCCGTTCTGGTTTCGACAAAGACTTGCTGAAGTAGGCTATTACTTGCTCGTGCTCACCTTTTACTTGTGATAGTACACCTCCAATGCCAATTCCACTGGCATCTGTATCTACCACATATTCACCATCTTGATCCGGGTAGCCTAGTATTGGAGTCTCACACAGTCGGTTCTTGAGCTCATTAAACGCATCTTCACACTCTCCATCCCATGTGAATTTTCTCTTCTGTTCGGTGAGTCTGTGAAGTGGTTTTGCAATATCCGCGAAATTTCTCACAAATCTTCGGTAGTAAGAACATAAGCCTAAGAAAGCGCGGACTTCAGTTTTATCTTTAGGCACTGGCCAATCCTTCACCGCAACTATCTTCTCAGGGTCTGTTCGAACTCCATCCTCTGATATAATGTGCCCCAAGTAGCTCACTGCTCTCTTGAAAAATAAACATTTCTTCGCACTTAGTTTCAGGTTGGCTTCATGCAGTCTGGAGAGCACCCGTTGCAGATTTCGTATGTGATCATCAAAATCCTTCCCAATGATGACTACATCATCCAAGTACACTAAGCAGGCTTCTCCTATCAGTCCTGACAGTACTTTTTCCATTAGTCTTTCAAAGGTGGCAGGTGCATTGCAAAGCCCAAACGGCATAACTTTAAACTGCCATAGTCCTTTACCAGTTGAGAACGCTGTTTTCTCTTTATGACTTGGGTCTATTTCCACTTGCCAGTACCCACTTTTCAAGTCTAAAGTTGTAAACCATTTTGCCCCACTTAAGGTATCCAAGGTGTCATCTATTCTAGGTAAAGGATAACTGTCCTTCTTCGTGATATCGTTAAGACGACGGTAGTCGACGCAGAACCTTAAACTGTTATCCTTTTTCTTGACTAAAACTACTGGAGAGCACCAAGGGCTGGAAGATGCTTCAATAACATTATGGTTTGACATTTCTGCAATCATCTTGTCTATATTCTTTTCATATGCGACAGGTACTCGTCGCGGTCTTAAACGTATAGGTGCTTCGGTTCCAGTCTCAATTCGATGTTTAACTACACCTGTCCTTCCTAGATCTCCATCGTGTGTAGCAAACATGTCAGAAAATGTTTTTAATAGTCCCTTTGCTTTCGACATTTCTTCCCTCGTCAAGGTTTCCTTACAGTCCTCCAGTATTGCTTGAACTATATCTCGTTGTTTACTAACTGTACCATCTTCAATGATAGCTCTATACAC